AGCATAATAATTTTTTTTTTATGACTAAAATGTTAAAAATAAAATCTCACGATCCGATTACCTTAATTGGATGTTGAGAAATGTTGACTTAAAAGATACCATTTTAATCAGTATAAGCGATTTTGTATAAAAACCTTTAAGTTTTTCAAATGTAATAAAAAAAATTACGAACAAAAAGTTAATTTACATTTGCAAGTTGCAAAAGACGTCATTATGTAATGTACGTAAGTAAAAAAGTGATTTTTAAATATTGTAACTCATTTTCTGTCTTTTTTTTGATGATATTGTATTAAGAATAGTTTACCGTCAAAGATGTAAAAAAAAGGGTGCGTGCGTCAATTTTTTAATCTTTAATTTCGATAGGCCTTATTTTTATACCTTATCCTTTTGATATGTAGCAACATTAAGGACAATGTAAACATAATGGAAAGAAAATGAAATTCTTCCCATCGGAAATGAAAAGGCGATAGTATTATGGAACATTTTTCATCGAAGAATTTCGCTATGGTTTCGGAAATCCCATTACAGGCCACATGCGGCGAATTGAATACTTTTCGACCCCTTGTTCCTTCGCCTTATAAATGGTTACGAGGGTTAATCGATGTTTACCCCCCTAATGTTTTACTGTTTACAATTCCCTTAAGAATTCACATTTTATTTCCCACGACTTTTTCTTAATTTTCTTGATTCAATTTAATTTGACTCAGATTAGATTGGGTTCAATTTTTTGTGGAAGTCTGTTCTTATCATCATTTTGGCCTAGTTTGACTTTTTTACAAACGAGTTTCTTGGACACCCGACTAATAGGTAGCAAACATAATGACATTTTTTTAACTATCTACTATTAAAAACACAGCCGGATGTAGTTTTTGTCAGTGATGCCGTGTAGAACGAAATACTTGGCTAGGGATGTTAGCAAAGAAAGGGTAGCATTTTATTTAAAGGTATTCTCTAGACATTTATTTTATAATGTAACAAATACCGAATCAGAAGATTTCGCAATGGGCAATTGATGAAATATTAACTTGGACTGAAGGAACTCGCGACGGTCAGATTATACTGAAAGAAGCTAACTACAACAAACATAGTAAACTTCAACATTAGTTCATATATTTTGTCAGTAACAGACTAGGTCACTGTCTCGCTCGCCAAATCTATTCTTTGTATCATCAGAACAAGATGCTAAAACGATCTAAAATATTCAATGATAATTAGTCTGTCGTTATGCAAGATTTAAAAATAAATTGTTGTTCGTCGGTAACATATGAGAGAGAAGAAATCGCGTTGGCACTCTCTGTCACGGGCCGCTGAGCGCGCAAGCGCAACGGTCGCGTGGAGTCGCGCGCACTGATTGGTTAGCGCGCATGGCGTGATGCGGACACGACCTACGGCGTGCTGTCGTCAGTTTGCTTTGCTGTCGTAGTAAGGTGCTGCCCCCATGCGGCACACCCATGCAGCAACAGCTTTTCTAACTAACGGTGTTTGCCACTAAATTACTGCGTTATTCAATAAATAAAACAATATTTGTTGTATATTCTATTTATAATATCGAGATGATGAAATCTTCGTTTTATAACCTACAAATGAGTCAGTATACTCCATAACCTGATCCGCAATAAACATCCGGCGACGGCGACAAGGCGCGTGCGGTGTGACGTAGCGCCGCAGCGTCTCGCGCCAACGTCACGCCACGCACGATACCTGACAACGTCACATGATGTGCTTTGAAGGTCACCAGACTGATCAAAATGTACTACGTGTAAACCCACATAATCTATTTAAATTTTAAACGTGAAATCATCTCCCGTTATCTACAGTCAATAATAGGGAAATCATTATGAATATTTATTAGTGATGAATCATACTTTATCACGTCAGAATGGGTGGTTCGATGTTCTGTTTAATTACCGTGGTCGTATCGTGGGTGTGTAGGTACCACGAAATACATTCAGAGAGCTGTACTATTAGATTTCAGCATGGATCCATTTACATTCACGGATTTCGCAATCTATCGATACGATCTACTTTTACTGGCCTATGTCTAACTATTATAAAGCTCTGAAAATATATAAATCTAAGAAATAGTTTATCCTATAGATATTCGCACAAGTTAGTAAGCGGGAACTGGCATGTTAGAAATAGACATCAGATTGGGGCCCCCAAAAATTGCTATGTTTCGCTACCATGAAACAAAATGTTAAATGGAACCGATAATAAAATGTTAATTAATTTTATCTACATTGGTAACAAGTAATTAAATATTCGTATACACTCGGTACACAGTAGATTAATGAAATACACCACAAAATTCAATATGGCAAAGCAACTGTGTGTAGCCTGACATGAACTGTCTGTTCTGCAAGACTGTCAAATACTATTTACAGTTATCGAGTACATGAACATATGGAAAGTGCATAACCAACTGACAAGAGGCTTATGTTGTCTTCTGTCCTTTTTGTGATCATATTTGAAAAGCAAAACCTCATTCGATTATTCCCCAGAATGATATCAATCAATTAAATTTGTTTTTTTTTCATGTTATTACAAGTTTATTTTTCTAATCTAATATCCGTAATATCTGGGATGTACTACAAGTAATATTGCGAAAGTTTCGAACCAAATCGATATCAGAACACTTTACTTGATAAGGCTTTGTTAATATTTGTAAATAAAGTGGGACAGTAAACCTTACGTTCAAGTGAGAACTTTGCCGTGTTAGTTGAGCACAAGAAAGTTAATCAAGTATTTCATCGCTGAGGCTTTCTATCGGCACTCAGTTCATGCACACAGGTGAATGCTTCGAATATTCTTTATAATAGATTTTCACTTTCACCATAACTATCAACAATAGGCTTTTATGTTAAAAAATACTTTATTAGCTAACAGTTACTTTGGTACTGTTAGAAATTCTATAACGGTTTACGCAGTCTGTTATTGTATTGAAGTCGTTTATTTTCAGAGCCTTTTTAATCTGCAATACTTTTTTTCTTTATTTTAAAATCTCCCCCAGGAAAAGCCTAAGATTTTCTAATTAAAAGTATAATTAATGAACTTGTTACCATCTTTGATAGACAATAATTTGTTGGTTATAACAAAGCTTTTGTTGAAGACGAAATACAAATGCATTAACGTGGACACGACACGGCACCGGTGGAGTACAATGCTGCGCTAAACAGTAGGGGACGTGCATAAAGGAATGATTTATGTTACTGTCAAAACGCTGCCGTGTTATAGGAACAAATATAACAGATTATTATTGTAAACGATGAATGGTCGCTGTTTGTATAATCTTAGGGTAGATTACTATAGAATTTTGCAGTGGTATTGTTATGCAATAAGATTTAATGGGCACTCCTAAGTTATGATATTATGGTTACATTTCGACGGTTATTCTAATTCTAAACACTAGTGTAATTAAAAAATATATACATTAATTTATTATGGTTTATTACACGTTGATATTTATTCATATATTGGAATTATTCTCAGGTACTTTGCTTGACACATACTGCACTTTTTTTAATAATATAGTGACAAACACCTTTGTCACCTTAGCTAACATGAATTTGCCGAAAAGGCGAAGCGTTGCTTACTCTTAATTGACGGAGGTTACTCACATAATAAAGGTCTCTCCCCTTCCTATCCGTCTCCTCCACCATTAACTTTACTTTCCCTTCCCATCCTTTCCTTACTTGTCGAAAGCACGTCGGATATATTTCGCAACAATCTGCAAAGTTTCAGTTGTGTACACTGTAATCTTATCTATCTCATGTAGGTGCGAACCGCACCCTCATGTCGACTCTTGTTTGCAAATACTTATTTACATAATACTGATATGTAAGGTAACTGTCAATATCAACAAAGATAACAGATTACCGTTACGATTGCCATATAAGAAAATTCCAAGCTAGCGTTTTTTTTGTTATTTTTTAAATTGGCGTAGGATGGACTATTGGATACGAGCGTCTATATGAAAATGATGTGAATGCAATTTGACCTTTTGCATCGTTTTTATAATATTAATACGTCCTGATAATCATTATTAAGATGTTATTAAGTTTGTGAATCTCACGACACTGGACAGTTTAATTAAACTGTAGTGACCTTTTTGAAGAAGTTTTTTGTACTTGTGAATTCTTTTGTTTTTAAAATTAACGTAATTTATATCAGATTTAATTAAAATACCTATATTAGACACTCGGTCTAACGAATCATAGGCCTTGAATAATTATGTAATATATTGTCATAAGTGGCCATTTTGTGCATAAAGTGTTATTGATTAAAACAATATAAACTTTAGATATGCAGCCTTATATTGACCTTGTGAAGGTGATTGGTATTACGTTCGCTAAAAGTTGCGATCTGAACCGGAATTGAAAAAAAATACAAGCAATATAAAATTATTCATTAATTATTCTTTTGTTTTAATTATGAAAAGTAATATAATATACTCTCAGATTCTTATAACTTTATACCTAAATTGTTGAAAATGTTTTACGATTTGATATTTTACACATTCATGTATTTAACGTCCTTGTTATTTGAGTTCAATTCCCGGGAATTTCCTCTAATAGTTTTATGTATTGAAGATTTAAATCCGATCTGTATTTCCTCAACGTGTTGAATTAACTTTGTGACTTATTAAATATATATTTCTTTAATTTAAAAAATTGTAGGTAGGCCATGTTTATATGCAAAAATGTGTTTTATTTTAATAAATGATATTAAGATATATCGGTAGCCGACTTCCTGTTTGCGATATTAAAATGATTAATTACGATTTTAAGAGTTGATTTATCACGTACTAGCTGTGAAGGTAAACATCCTGTGGAATTATATGACTTACGAATATTATCAAGATATAAATCCGTCCAATGAATCTTTGGTCTTCATAGTATAAGGACATTTCTTCTTAAATTATGTTCCGGCCCATTAATAGGACACGAAACTCAACCATACACATTAGCCCCTAGATCCGTCAACATATTTTTTTTTCACAGGCGTCCTTAGCGATGTAAAAACCGAGTTCAACATCGGCGACGACTGGGCGGGTCTGCTGCAAACCGTGTTTGTAATCGCCTACATGGTGTTCGCGCCGATGTTCGGCTACCTAGGCGACAGGTACTCGCGGCGGAAGATAATGGCGGCTGGTGTCGCACTATGGACTATGACAACATTTGCTGGTTCTTATGTAACGGTAAGAGTAAATAACTGTTAGAAATTGAGCAGTGGAATAGTTTTGTTTCCGACAACGTGACGTGCCAAGTCAACTGAATATTGTAATTGAAGAATATTTTTCCTACTAATCGGAAATCCATCAAAGAAGTTAAAGATTTGAATCTGCAAATGGAGAGTTCCTAAATTGTATTGCTTTTTGTTCGCGAGCTAGTAAAGACTGCATTTAAAAGGATTTTAAAATCAATGGAACTCTATTGTGATATTTGAATGCAGTGCACTTTCTGTTGGCGTTTGTTTAGATAATATTTGGCATTGTATATTTTAGGTCTCTGAGATCTGATGCAAATATTTATACAACCACATCCGTATTTAGATTGTATGACTCATATAGCTTTTATATCTCTATAAACAATTCGTAGACGTAGACAATTATATCAAATTGATAGTAAAGGTGTTATTCTGTGTATCAAATACGCGTGCTCGGATAAAATAAAACAATCTGCATATCTACTCATTAGTACTAGGATAGCATAGCAACCTTTTTCATCTTGTATACTAATATATAATGTGAGAAAGGTTCATATTATAAATGCGAAAGTTAGATGGATGGATGGATGTTTGTAAAAGTTTGTAGCCTAAACTGCTGAACGGATGACGATGAAATATGACGTAGATGTAGAGGATAGTCTTGAAGAACACATAGGCTACTTACTTTTGATTTTATTAATATAACGCGGACTGAGTCGCGGGCGAAAGCTACTCTTATCGTATTAACGGAACACATGTGCCAGTTATGATTAACTAAAAAAGACTTGCATTGGTCATGATGTCGTAATTATATTTTAACAGAATTACTATTGGTTCGCGGTGTTCCGTGGGCTGGTGGGCATCGGCGAGGCGTCGTACTCCACCATCGCCCCCACCATTATCAGCGACCTCTTCGTCGGGAATGTGCGCTCCAAGATGCTGGCATTCTTTTACTTCGCCATTCCTGTTGGAAGGTAAGTAATGAATTTCATTTTATTGAAAAAAAGATAATGTAAAGTGAAACATACTGAATACGATTTTATTTAATTTGGCCTCTTTGGTCTCGATTCAACCAATTCGGAAAGCAATCTTTGCACTTGCTTAAATTATTATGTTTGCTTTTTTACAAGGTATATGTTTGTTGTTTCCAGTGGTTTCGGTTACATAGTGGGGTCGGTGGCGGGCGCGATCGCCGGCGACTGGCGCTGGGGGCTGCGTGTGACGCCGGTGCTGGGCGCCGCCGCCGTAGTGCTGGTGGCTTGCGTGATGCAGGACCCGGAGCGGGGACAGGCTGAGGAGAGCACTATGAAACCGACTTCATATGGTGATGACCTACGAGCGCTTGTTAGGAAGTGAGTATATTTTTAGTACATTCTTGCTCTATTGACAGGATTATATTACATACTTATATGTTGCTCGCGATTTCATCTACGTGGAATAAAATGAATAGAAAAAACATAGCCTACGTTACGCAGTGGTAACGAAGCTTTTAAATGATGAAAGATTTTTTGAAATCCGCCCAGTAGTTTTTGAGTTTTCTCAATACATACAAAAATACAAATCTTTATAATATCAGTATAGATTGATGATAGGTTATATTTTTGCTGGGACCTCGGCTTTAACAGCCCTATCAATTTCTAACAAGTATTTGATTCTCACTAAAGAGTTGTAGAGCATAATTGTTACGTGTACTAACTCTTTCGTTTGGAAAGTATTTTAATAAATTCAAATAATGCAGTAGACGTTGCTCCTAATGATTCATGTACGTAGAACACGAACTACGTAGTTTCTTTATTGTGTCTTTTGTCTTAACGACGTGATAAATTACAATTTTCTTTATGACGTAATCCGACTTATAAAAACACTTAAAAGGCGAGTTAAATCTTTATTTTATATAAGTAATATTATAAATGCAAAAGTTTAGATGGCTGGATGGATGGATGTTTGTTACAGTTTGTAGCTTTAACGGATAAACGGATCTGGATGAAATTTGGCATAGATATAGAACGTAATCTGGAAGAACACATAGGCTACTTGTTTTTGTTTTTTTTTTTAATTCCACGCGGACGGAGTCGCGAGCTAAAGCTAGTAAATAAATATATTCACCAGGAAAATATTTATAACATTGTACATAATGAATAACATTTACTTCATAATTTACCTCAAACGTGGAACTATATTTTAACATTGAAGGAACACAAAACTTCCTCAATAAGGTTTAAATACTACGTGGTGCAATTTTCTTTTTATTATATCAAAATGTAATTTACTGCCGTGATGCAGCAATTTAATATCTCACCATACTTTAGGGGAAGGATTTTACCTCACCCTAGCTACCCTTGCTGACCGCACCCTACAAAAAAATACCAATTTATTAGGCAATGGAATTTTATTGACGTTAATATTTACCTGAATTATTTTTCTAACGCAATATGCCGTTATAGATTTTTTTATGTCGTATAATTTTAGATGTCATATTTAAAAAATAACATAAGAGAAAAAATACGTTACATTACATGTCTCATGAATTGAGCAAAAAGAAAACTAAAGCTAAACATAAAGAAATGTCTACAAAGTTTTTTTCTCAAGAAATTGGTGATATAAGCATTCTAAACTTTACGTGGACAGAGTGAAGATATTTTGTTTAAACTAGATAGGATAGCAGGTAAAAACGCAGTGAATAATTTGATGTCAATGTGATACGTTTGTGTCCAGTCCGTCGTTCATGTTGTCGACGCTGGCGTTCACGTGCGTGGCGTTTGTGACTGGCGCGCTGGCGTGGTGGGGCCCGCTCTTCATATTCCTCGGCCTCGACCTGCAGCCCGGCGTCAACATCTCCAAGGAGAGGTCAGTATATACAGCGACACACATTGAAGATTTTATGTGGAGTGGAGATATGTTTTACTTCTACATATTATGATACCAAGTAAAAAAGGGTGTGGCAATATGCATTATGATGTTTCAATCGAAAAAATACTTATAGTTTTTAATTTCTCGACAAAATGAAAGTACGAAGCATTTTACCACAAACAAATTTCACAACAAACGTATTAGGATAAGAGTTCCCAATTTATATCGTAGCTCTCAATTAATCTAAGAGGAATTGCAAACAGTGGAATAAGAAACAAGAATCCGTGAGAGCCGTCCCATTAAAACTCAAAAGTGTGCATGTTCGTTGTTATAATTGCAATAAATGAGCGGTTGTTTGCGCGCGCGCGCTCGGCTGCGGGCGCAGCGTGTCGCTGAGGTTCGGCATAGTGGGTATGTTGGCGGGCGCGTGCGGCGTGCCGGCGGGCGCGGCGCTGGCGCAGCGGCTGCGCGCGCGCCTGCCGCACTGCGACCCGCTCGTGTGCGGCCTGGCGCTGCTCGCCTCCGCGCCGCTCGTCTACCTCGCGCTCGTCGCCGTCTCCTCGCCCGCGCTCACGACACCCACATACATACTAATGTTCCTCGGAATGTTCTCGCTCAACCTCACCTGGTCAATCGTCGCCGACATCGTCCTGGTGAGCTGCCCACTCCCCCGACAACTCACAGAACTAAAGTTATTCCAATGGGAGCTACCGTACTCATGATTGTACTGATAGGGGAATGCTTCGCACATCATATAATCATGCCTGAACGACGCTAGACGTGTAGCATGTAACCGATCATTGCTAAACTAGCATAGTTAGTTTATAAGTATGTTTAAGTGTACCCAACTGACATCCAACTGTTCGAATATAATGGATACGTTCCATATAACGTGCACGAAGTTCATTTCACAAAACGTATTCATTATATTTGCATTTGAACTTTGCATTATATACAAGTGTTGGATGTGAGTTGTGCGCGTCGGGTTGCGAGTGCTGAGTACCGAGTGCTGAGTGCTGAGTGCTGAGCGCTAAGTGCTGAGTGCTGAGTACTGAGAGTGAGCGTGGTGCGCGGTGCGAAGGGTGTCGCTGGTGTTCGGCGGAATCACGATGGCGTCGGGGCTGGCGGGCGTGCCGCTGGGCGCGTGGCTGGGCGCGGCGCTGGTGCGGCGCTTCCCGCGCGCGCACCCGCTCATCTGCGGCGTGGGGCTGCTCGTGTCCGCGCCGGCGATGGCGCTCGGCATGCTCCTCACACAGTACTATTTCTACGCGCCGTTCGTCTTCATGTTCATTGGCGAAGTCGCTTTGAATCTCAACTGGGCTATAGTTGCCGATATGTCGCTGGTAAGCACCGCGAGGGGTTACACGTGTTTTAAAATATATCTCAAGCCCACGGATCGACCAGTATCCGTTTTTTGTTGTTTTTTTTCTTTCCAATGTATTTTAAATTGTTTTAAATCAATCTTGTGTCCGCTACTGAAGTGTACTTTTGTAATTAATACCTTTTCTTTTGTGGATAATGACGATATAATTTAAAACACTTGAAAACTGTGCATTACATTTCTAGTATTGATGATATTGTGGTGGCATTAGCTATTAGTGCATGATATTCGTTATTTATTATTTTTATCATATTCTATAGCATGCTTGTTTCGCTTTCATTAAATATCACGAAATTAGTCACTCATGAGTACGTTTTAAGTAATCAGATCAGATAAAAATATCTATAAATTGAAGTAGTGATATCATATCTCGTTGGAATAATTTTAATTGATTTGTTAAGTAGTGACTGATTTCTATTTTAAAAATAGCGACATCTATTGATAAGAGTACGAAAATATGTGATGTTTAAACTTTTTGGAATCATAGTATTTGTTTTAATGCTGCATATAAGATATAGATGGCGCTTTTTTATATCAATGTAAAACAATCATGCGATGGATTTATAGTAAACAAACATTATCCATTTTGAGAAAAATTAAGGTAACTGGAGCCTATATACTAAATACCCCAAATTTGCTATAATTACCAGACTAATCTTTATCTATCCACAGTAATTTTAACCGTAGTAAAAAGCTTGTTGCTCCAATTTGAATAACTTAAATTAGAAAACAATAATTATAGTGTTATTTTTAGTCAGAAAGTATAATTTTTTAATGTTTCCAGTACATTGTAATACCTCCGCGTCGTTCGACGGCGGAAGCATTCCAAATCCTGATATCACATATGCTGGGGGATGCCGGTAGTCCCTACTTAATAGGAGTGGTATGTTTCTTATCAATAATAACTATTATTAAATACATTATTGAGCTGTGCTAACAGAATGTATGTACTGTATAATTATGAAATATTCTATTCAACAAAAATAAGTATATTTTAATTGTATTAAAAACGATAATATACCATTTCGAATATTTACCACCACCAGAGTTTATATTGCAAATTAAAATTTTAGTTTTTGGTACATCCGATGAAAAAAGTTAAAATACCCTATTTTTCGTCCGATAGGTAGATTAAACTATTCTGAATATTGAAAAGGAGAAAGATTTGTATTTTTGTATTTATTGAAATAACTCGACTACTAGACCGATTTTAAAAATTCTTTCACCATTAAAAAGCTACGCTACTAGTGTGTAATAGGTTAATTTTTTTTTATTTCACGCGGGTGAAATCGCTGCTAGTGATGAATATCTGTTTCAGATATCGGAGAGTTTGAAGCGGTCGCTGAGCGGCGGCGCGGCGGAGGCGGCCAGCCGCAGCCAGCAGTTCCGCGCGCTGCAGTACGCGCTCTTCCTCACCTGCTTCGTCGAGGTCGTCGGCGGCGTCTTCTTCCTCATCACCACCAACTACATCGTCAGGGACAAGCAGAAGGTCGACAGAGCTATTGCAGGTAACACTTTAATAAACAAAAACGTGTTTCGGATAGGGCTCATACAAGTCTTTGACACATTAAATCCTAATTTCCACTGAACGGCGCATACTTGTTATTCCGGATCCGATGTGAATAGGCATAGTTGTCGCCAGTTGATGATATAGGCTAGTTTTGGACAGGGAATTTTTTTCTGTATTACATTTTTCTATCAAGGCTGGGGTGGATATCTATCCCCCCATTATGACCATGGAAAATCCATGAAAATTGTACTTACTCCCTTATTGCACATACTTAATAGATAACAAGTCTGTATGTATGAGCCCTTTTTAGTTTTAAGTTAGTGAAACCGGGTTGTAATATTATCTTTTGTCAACTTCACATTGTTTCAGTGTCAGCAAAAATAGTATAATCCAAAGCAAAAAATAGTGTAGGCGGTGAGTTACAACTTGTGCTTAAAGTGCATGGCTCTACTCATCACCATTGGGCTCTCACAACTCGGGAATTGTTTTATATTTTTTTATATGTTGATTATAATTGTATTTTTTTTCTTTTAGAAGCGGAAGTACACAGCAGCGAAGCTTCTCACAGTCAAACACATGAAAAAAATGTATCCGGTGAATAGTTTGTTTGTCATTTGTATCAGTCTAGTTAACGGTTGTAGTGTGGTGAACTTTCACTGTCGAATATGTTCCTGTCAAATGGCTATTGTGAAACCACTGTGGTGTTACAATTGTATAGTAATTTGATTGAATGCAATAGAAAGACTGATCCGTAATGCATAGCATGATAGACAATGAGTGTCCCGAGTGGAGTGGAGGCAGCGGAGTGATAGTGTACAATACAAATTAAGATTTCTCTGTAACATGTAACTGTAACAGGTTATAAATGCCTACGTGCCTACTTAAAATAATTTATTCAAAATATTATATAAGTTTGCAATTTCATTTGTCATAAATTATTAATTTCATACATTAAAAGCTGTTGTTTTAGATTTTTTTTCTGGTATAGTATTCAAGTATTATTTTAGACAGTAGCTATCATATAGTAAACACTACAGATGGAAATATCGAGCGTGTAAGTTGGCACGTCGGTCGGAATAGTATTCTGGTTTTCAACGTGCCAACTATATGTTGGATAAAATATAATGCAAATGTTATTGCTAAGTACAGAAAGATTAGATTTTTTCCTTGTTATCGCCCATGTTGAACCTCATGCACTTGTTGATAAATAAATTTTATATTAGATTTATTTATTTGTTATCGATTTTAATTTCCAATAATTTCATTTTTATTAACAGACATGTTTATTGAAAATATTTTTATTAAAATGTTGACCTGTATTTTAATCAATTATAAATCAGTCAGATAAAAAAAAGATTTTATTTTAATGCAATTTTTGTCAAAGACTGAATTATTTAAATTTTAATCAATGGGGCGTTTCATTTTGTAAATAATGTAATTTTTAGAAAGGAATTGAAAAAGAAAAACACAATATAATTTATTTTGCAAAATAGTTGTTTTATTGCTTTGACAAGCATGTTTATTCCTATCAAATTGTACAAAACAAACACATGATGCTGAGTACTGCGTGCACAGAACATTATGTCACATCACAAACTAAATACAGCTCCAGCTATAATTTAGTTTATCTATAGTCAAAATTATTATGAGACTTTATAATAAACTATTAAGTACTTTTAACAAATATGTATCCAATTTTGCTTTCCTACTAACATCCAAATTAAAATTGGAAGTGTTAAAAATTTATCATTTCATGTTATCGAATAGCATTTTGGTTATTGTTTTAAATTTTTGGAATTGTTGTTTTATGTGATTGTTATAATGCAATATTTACTTGCTTTGATCCAAAAAATGTTTATACAAAATCTCAAAGTAATGTTCAATTACATTAAGTATCACAAAGTAACAAGGTACATAGCATACAATGCTATATTTCTTATTTACAGTCACATATCTGACAAAATCCCTGATAACAGTTTTGATTGAATTTTAACACAATTACATGGTTTTATTTATTTTATCACATAGAAACACTAATATAAGAAGCTGTAAGTTTACTTATATATTTACACTTGGAACGGTCAATAGTTTATAGCAAGTTACTATTATCTGGAAAAAGTCACATATCTTCAAGTCAAGTTACTATTATCTGAAAAGGTTATAAATTCAACATCACTAAAAATATATTTTTATTATAGTCTGCATAATGACCATCATTCACATTTAATCAACAATCATATAAAAGTGTGTTTCCCGTTGGGACGAAGGATCATTTGGGCCATCGGCCCAACAGGAAACACCCATATAAAACAATATCCATTAATCAACATAAAAAAACTTGGCACAAGTTTCTTAAACAAAGTCATTAAAATTTCTTAAAAATCTAATTAAACATAACATTTAATAATAAGATTGTCGGTGGTAACATTTACAGTTATTAAATGTCATTAAAAATAGACACTTCTGCTTATCCTCTCCGTGTCACATCCAGCACATACTAATAAGCACACTAAAAACACATAACACTAGTTAAAAATCACTTGAAATGGTGGGATAAGGTAGTTTATAAAATCAATATTTGAATAATCAGGTACTACTGTCAGTTTTATTCCGATGAAGAACAACTGTTGGTTGTGCTCGTGTCATCTTGAATCCTCAACGGTTCAACTCTTAACCTCTTTGCGATTGGCTCACACGGTGTACAATTGTCACTCAAGCCTCGTTTCCCCGCTACTGCTACCTTCAGAATAGTCACTTTGTCAGAATTATTGTTTTCTTCGTCAGAATTTTGTGATATTGTCAACTGATTGAAATCTCTCACTTGAGCAGCTTGGACTAAGAGCCTTTCTATTTTCATTAAAGTAACAGGATCCTAAAAGAACGAAATGGTTTAAATCATCACAATTTAAGGAAATATCTATACTTAAGATAAGGCATTGGGAATAAAAATATAGACTTGCACTTGCAGAAAAAAATGGATATAGATTTTTAGCACAGACAGAACATAGTCTGAAAAGGTTCCTCAAGGTTTTTTTAGGTGAGTATGGTTGCTAGTAGGAAATAAAAACATATTTACCTGCATCCAGGTGTGGTTAAGTATTTGGTCGAGAGAGATTCTGTTTTTGACATTAACTGTAAGCATTCTCTTCATGAGCAGTTTGGCCGGCAAACTAATTTTGCTCCAATGCTTGTTTGAATATCTATACTGGCCTCGCAATATCTGATCCCTCAAAGACAACTCTTTGTAATCAGTTGAGAATGGTAAATAACCAACAAGACTGAAACATAACAATTTATTAAGTTAACAGAACACAAAACATCTAAACTGGATTTCATTTAATCTAAACATACTTATAGAGTAAAAATGCCATCAATGTTTTATTAGATCTTTAAATTATTTAACATTTATATAACTAATCTTAAATAAAAAAATTACCAAACAAAAAATATCACTCCCAAGCTCCATACATCCACTTCAGGTCCATAGCAGTTCTGTCCGTTCGCTCGCAACACTTCCGGTGCTAAATATAATGGTGTTCCACACATTGTCTTCATAAAGCTATCTTCACCTACAAATTTGCTGAGTCCAAAGTCAGTTATTTTCACCAGTGTTTCTTCATCTTTACTCTCTAATAGCACATTCTCAGGCTGTAATAGAAATATATTCTTTTATGATACTTAAAAAGTTTAAAAACTACCTAAAATGATATAAATATAAGTTGATTTTTTTCCTGCAGATTTAATAGAAACTGTATTTACCTTAAGGTCTCTGTGAGTGATGCCTTGAGAGTGTAGATATTTAACAGCGACCACCATTTGTCGGAAATAAAACTTTGTTAGTTCCTCTGATAGCTGTCCACATTTAGAGATTCGGTCAAATAATTCTCCACCCTGCATCAGTTCTAAGATAATGTATACAGTATCGCCTGTGTCGAAGACTTCTTCCGTTGATACAATACAAGGCTGGAAAATTCAACACAAAATAAACGAAACATACAAAATATGTAATTTTTTAATTATAGTGTTTTAATTACAATACTCACATGTCTCAATGCCTTCATAATATTAACTTCGTTCATAATTCTCTGTGGATCCGTCAAATTGTTCATTTCTCCATTAGTCAGTCTGCATTTCTTAATTATCTTCATTGCATGTTTTGTGCATTTCGTTTTGTCATACACTAATTTAACCAGACCACAAGCCCCTTGTCCTAATACTCTAGATATGTAATACTTCTTTGATATTTCCTTAGGAACTTTGTCTTGTTCATTCTTCAGTAAGTCTTTATAAATGAATACTGAAACATTATTCTGAATTATTTGCTTAGAACTAAAAACAAATGACTGTTTTTAATGACAAAATTACCTACTTTTTAAATTTGCCAATAAACAAATATTTAATTGAGAACAGTCCCTAGATTGGCATGGTGCAGAATTCAAAAAATGTATGGATCTAATACAAAAGAATAGATGGACAGATAAAAATGGTTGAAACTACAATTTACATAGCTTTTTAAGTTTAATCTTGTAGATGACGGTGATGTTTTAATCTTACTAATATCATAAATGTGCAAGGTTAGTTAACTTAAAGGATATGGATGAAATTTGGCACAGATGTAGAGCATAGTTAGGAACACCCCATGTTGGAGTCATGGGCAAACTAGTATTAAAGATTAACAAAGAACATCTGTAGTCGGAAGTATACTTACTTTTAGCGTTAGGATGAGTAAGTGATATTCTGTCATTGTCATCTAGCACTCTGCTTAATCCTTTGCCAATTGATTTGCCATTGATAAAGGTACCGTTAAATGACAAATCTGTTATTATAGCTGGACTTAATGGCTCCCTGAAATTATAATTGTTATATTAATTTTCTTGTTCAGTAGTATATAATGTGCACCTTACATTCTTTTATTTATTTTGAAAAATGAACTCATGGAAGATCCAGTAAATAGTAAAAGAAAGTCAGTGCCTCTAGATGGTTTTGCTGTAAAGCATAATTCAAACTCTACTGGCTACTGGCAATGGATTTTTCCATAATTTTCTGCAAATTACCTTTTTATCTAGTTTAAGAATGAACTTTACAAATTATTTACAAAAATACTTACGATAAGTTTCTTTTAATGATAAAATGTTGTTTACTAACACTTTTGACTATACTTTCATTAATGATTTCTTTCCTCATAACAAACGTGCAGGTAAAAGATCGTCCGAGCGAAAATTCTGGCTGTATTAAATCTGAAAATTTTATTAAATATTAGTGCCAAGTGTTATGATAAAGTTTGAAGGTAGATTAGAAAGTTGCTACAGCAATCGGTTTTATTTAAAGTTCAATTCTTACCGTAGTACGGAGGATTATCTTTACAAGTGTCCTTCCAACAGTTTTTTTCATTCAAGGATACTTTTGTGGAATAAAGCCGGCCCCAAATTACTGGTATAAAAGATGGAGTATTCGGCTGGCTCCAATCTACTTGCGATTTCTGTGTTTGAGTTTGAGTACACTCTGATTCTTGCAATATTTCATCCATTTTGGCACAACACTTTTAAGAAGTTTACACGAAATTAATACCCCATTAATGTAGATTTAAGTTACTCATTTGTTTAGAGCGGCAAAACAAGTCAACTAACTTTAAAGATTTAGCTGCATTCATTTGATTTGATTCTATTTTACCCGACTTCCGGTTTGTAACTGTCAAAAATATTAGGAGTTGCCGTCATTCTCTGCGAAATTTAAACCACTTTGACATTATTCTTTGAAACGTTTAAATTAGTTTTAATAATAATTAATTACATTTTTCTCTTAGCTTTGATTGCTTCATTCATCATCATGGTATTATTAAAATCATCTATATACGTATTTTTGTTAATAATTTATTTTATTAAAAATATAATGGCACTGTTAAAAAGTCTGGTAAATATAACTGGCCATTAAAACTTTTGACATCATAAAACCATTTAAAAGTATTATTTGAGCTCCATTCTATTTTAGAGTTTCATTGCGATCGGAAAAGGGAACTTTTAATTAACACGAGGAATCAATGCAGTCACGTGTGTGACGGTTCCATCTAGAAATAAGTCCTTACACGTATTATGTAAAAATTGATAAAGGGTTTTTAGTTCTCAATATTATTGTAATATTCATATTCACAATAAATATCCACAGAACTTGAATGATATTTTTGTCATTATTTTTTAACGTGAAATAAAAACACCACCGCAATATAACATTACATACAACCCACAGCTTTATGCTAAGATGTTTTCAACGAATTTTCCCCCTTTTCCGGCACGTTAGTGGGTTGTTAATGTATGAGTAGATGAATGCCTTGTTAGGGCAATCCTTATGAAAACAAATTGCTGTAATTTATTAGGAAAATTCCAATAAAGCTCAGCACTCGCTTTTCTTTCTGTTATACGTAAACAACAAGGCCTTCACCTATAATTCCACGTTCACCTCGATTGCCCTTATTTATTCCTTTATTGGGAACTGAGTTTATGAGAACTGAATATCACCTGATTGCCCAAATTGCTTTGAATATGTTCAACAAAATTGAAAGACTTGTCTTATAGAAAGAAATTTTCATTGTTATTTATTTGTTTCGCATGAAAACAAAACCAAAATCCTATCCTAATAATTAAATGACTCTGGTAGCAGACTTTAATTTCGTAGAACGGCTGAAATCTAATAATTCCTGCGATATCAAAGAGTTTTAAGTATTTTGGAGTTCACTGAAGTAAAAACTTTGTAAGCCCAGTATTTTAAACCATCTTGGAAAATATTTTTGCTAAGTCATTGTAATCAAAATATTCAACTGATTGTATAACAAAAGACTACCAAACATTAAGAAGCTTCTGATCAAATAGTTTACAAGAATAAAATGTTGAGTCACCATTTTGAATTTATCGCAACGATTTTTTTGTTTTTGATTTGTGTCAGTGTTTCCGTCCAGTTGTGGTGGGTACTTTCAAGATTCAACAGGCGTGTTCTCAGCTAGATCGTACATTGTTGCGACAATATTACAGTAGAGGCGACCGAGGTAAGATTTTTAAATTTTAATTCACACCTTAGATTTACTGCGTTAAAGGAGTCTTTATTCCTAATCTATACTATCTGTACTAATATTATAAAGAGGAAAGAATTGTATTTTTGTATTTATTGAAATTACTCAAAAACTACTCGGCCGATTTTAAAAATTATTTCACCGTTAGAAAGGTAATTTATCTGTGAGTAACATAGGCTATATTTTTAATTTCACGCGGGAGAAGACGCGAGCAACAGCTAGTTTCTTAAAAATGAAGTCACTCGTTAAAATATAATTCTTGTTGTTATCACGTTAAATATTAATTATCTGTCCCCTTTTGTTTAATTTTCACTTCCTTCTTCCTTAAAGGTCACAGTAATGTCCGTTTTAAGTTCGAGTAATATTATGTTGGGATCTTTACTGCCGTCGTCCGTAACTAAAGGTCATAAAGGGCTCTGTCACTTCGTTTTGTCTTTATTTATACTCAACTGACGAAAGGGTGATTTTTGCGTGGTTATGTTGGGCATGTATCGTATGTTCCATGGTGGGAAGATAAAAGTTTATGATAATACTGTATGTAAAGGCTGCTGTTCACCTTCTGTTTAACAAAAAAGTCAAACTATACAGCTAAAACTGAATGTGTCTAGCGGGCTTAATATTTAAATACACATAACAGTACTATTGTTAATTAGCAGGGATTTACAGTCGAGATAAGCTTCTAGTGGGTAACAAACATAAAAGATTTTGTTATTTTTTCCAGTGTAAATTTTAAAAAAAGTAACGATACCGAGTAGCAAATTTGTTTAAAATTATCAGTTAACGTTACCCGGTATTTAATCCCATGAGTTTAACGATTTTCGACCTTTTTCCGGGTTGCAAAATATTAAATTACATCATGGTTATTTTAAATTTGCGATCATGTTTTTTCAGCGAGATATTGAATGCGTCGTATACGTTTAATATTTCTTTTAATTATTTTTTTAACTTGAAAGTAAATATAATTAATGATTAAAACCGAATTAAACGCCTAGGTATTCTATCTAGTCACGAAATAATCATATTTATTTACTAGCTTTCGCCCGCGACTCCGTCCGCGTAGAATTAAAATAAAAAAAGCCTATGTGCTCTTCCAGACTATCTTCTACATCTTTACCAAATTTTTATCGAAATCAGCTGTTTAGTATACCAACTCAAACAAACATCCATATAAACTTTCGCATTTCTTTTATTAGTATGGTATTTGGTTTTCATCTATGATAAATAAAGTCTACGATATTATTTAAATAAAGTATAAGTCAAAGTCGGTACTGATAAACAACTTATTTATTGGATCGGTCAAAGCAATTAGGTTATCTCGTTCAAAGGGAGGAAAACGATACACGTGAACACACACAAGGAAGCAATTGTGATTTTATTCGTTCAAGTAAGTCCATTCAAAGAATCCCCTTTATCACTTTTTACGATAACATTTGGACATTTTCTGTATAAAATTCCTATTATGTTAAACATATATTATTAAATCACTTTAATTTTTTTTAAACAATGTAATGTAGTTTTAAGACATTCACGTGTAAAACTGTAATAAAAATAATAGGCATATGACTTGCGTTCTTCAGAGAATTGACCAGTTGTTGTTTCCACTGTCATAGAACTCGTACAACAACATATTTACCAAACTAAATACATATTAAGGTGCCTATGTATAGCCGTGCGTATAAGGTAATGCCCCATTTGAGTTCCGTCTAATTTATATGCGTATTTTAGCGAAAATGTTTAATATTCTATTACCATCGCCGCGGGTGGATAACTTCCATACACCACTTAAGCGTTAAAACCGAGGCTTAAACCGATTCCCATAATATACATAACTTTTTCCATAATGTTTATATTTCACATTTAAATGTTATCTTCAAATTTCGTTTGTTTTGTATTGTTTATGTTCGTAACATTATACGGTAAGGTTTTATTATTGTATATCCTTGCCAAGGGCTCTTTTAGGTATTTACACCAAACAAAATATACAAATTATTTATGCGGATATTACTTGTTACTGGCAGTATTAATTTATTCTTCCAAGCCTTTAGAAGTTAGTAGTTACCGATAAGAAAAATTGTTTTTTTTTAATATCCAGTAAAGAGAAATATTAATTAAGTCCATATTGAAATGTAATTAGTGTGAATAAACATTGCGAGCAGCTCGAAGTGGAATTGGAAAATGCTTTACACTGAATGTATCGGAACGGATATTTGTTTCGCAAATGTTTCGCACGTCGTCTATTTGCCGATCGTAGAAGCAACGTCGCCCAGAGCTTCACGCTAATGGAAATTTACTCTTCATTTGCCTTTAAATTGTAAAATTTTACATTGACTTTTTAATTACGTCCTAATATTACTAAACTTGAAAATGTTACTACTTGAAGAATTATGTTATCTCGTTTTCTAATTCTTGAATTTGCATTTTATATTTTTCTTATAACTCTGGATTTATTCCAGTTCTTGGGAGTAAAAAATAATAAAACTGCATAGACGTAAATCAATTCTATTCAAATTACCTCGACCGGTCTCATCTTGGCTAAGCTTTTAATGCTTTTGTGTTACGTTCAAGAAGCTTTCTAACAATTTTGCTTGAATTTGTTTTACAAACAAGATGTTGTGCTTTAGAAATTTAAAGAAAGCAAAGAGACAAAACAAAGCTCTTCTATCTATAATGTAGGAACAAGACGTTGATTTATAGAAAAAAACATCTTTAAAAAAATGTGAAAATTAGAATTATTTATGTTTAATTATGATTATACTGAAATTCGGCAACAGGCAAGATGATTATGTACTCTCTTTTCAGTATATCATCGTAGCTATTCCGATATTTTAAACCTACTTGTCTCGTATTACTTCGGAAATTTAGGAAACATATGAAATTTCTTTAATCGGCTTTTCTTAGTAAATAACCACCTTTTACGTTGTCATTGGCTATTTTGCAATTCTATGAAAAAAGATAATGGCTCTTATTATTTTTCAGACAAATAAATAAAATAAATCAAATGCAATACATTAATTAAAACAGTTATATGCTTGGCGCATTTAAAAACTTGTCTTGTTTTTTGTTTATTTAATTTAATGTGGCCTCGAATTCTAAATTATTAAACAGTTATTAGAACGAGATAAATAAGCAGACAGTTTTAATAAACTTTAAGTTGAATTTATTCATTATCTTAAATTTTATTCACAATTATGTTAATGGTTTTTAAATAAAATTTTACAAATATGTTAATAATTAAAAACACATGTATTGAGTAAATTTAATCGATAGATATATAAAATACATATTTGGGAAGTGGGTTTTCAGGGAAATATTTCAATTTCATAAACAATTTCTGTATTTAATCTTAATTACAACAATGGATAGCGTAAGTCATTCGGAGGCGGGCGAAGGGTTAGTCGCGATGTTTACTTGCGGAAGCAGGAGATTGGATTGAAGTAGCATTGACGGAAGCGGACCTGCCTCTTGTCGGCGCGCCACTGCCTCGCCAGTCGCCCGTCCATAGCGCGCACACCCCAGCCTCGGCTTTCATTCTGGGGCCAGGAACGTCCAACCCGGGTCAGTCTAGATGACAAAGAACATAGATATGTTTAGTAGAAACACCACTTAGCGATTACAACTACTACCTTAAGATGTGTCTCGGTAAAGCTCTACTACAAAAGAACGTTTACTTTAGTCCAGGGATCGCGAACCAATGGCACACTTAACCAATGGTTCGCATTTTTTGGTACCTCTGTTCACAAATTCATTATGCAGTACAAAAAAGCATGAAGTAGATATTATATAAGTACTATAATACGCTATGTAATGTTCCTAATGATCAGAAAGTCAAAATTATTTGATGGCACTCTATGATCTTGTTACACATTTCTTTAGGATACTGGCAAGTCAATATGTAAAGGTTTGCCACCCCTGCTGTCGATTATCTTTGGGTTCATAGATACAACATTGTTCATCATTGATTATTAACGATACTCCTTAAAGTATCTAAATAACAACATTTATTTAATAATGACATTCTGTATTTATTCTCCTCGCGTTGTTTTTAACCACTTCGTAGAATACAGGAAGACTTTAAGCTATCACGCTTGAATAAATTAAAATACTTTTACAACATCGAATAAATTAGCCTTGTCAAAGTTGAAGCTTCTCCACTTTAGATTTAATTAATAATTAAAAAGTAATTTAGTTGGCTTACACCTTCCCCTATTTATAAAGCAAAAATGGTTTTATGATTTATGTGACCTTTCCTCGGCGTCGAGTTGAAGCAACAATTTGCGTAGTGCAGCCGCTGTGATGGGGTCCCAGGGCGCGGCCATGTCAGCCATGTCAACCGCCTCCGGTCGACTCACTAGAGCGTTCTCAGACTGTTCCTCTTCGGATTCCTGCTAAATATTATTGTCAACTAAAATTACCCGAAAGAAAAAATATAAAAAGATTTCAAATCTTACTTCTTAACGAAATTTTAGATTTATGAATGGATTTATGTTTGTTAACATATAAACGGCTTGACAGATCTCGAGAAATTCGGCATAGATATAGACGAAAGTCTAGAAGAACAAATAGGCTATATATATATTAAGTATTTTTTTATTCCGTGCTGGAGAAGCCATGGGCAAAACCTAGTTAACTATTACGATTGTCTTTTGTTCTATTTTCTTATATTCCTAGATGTAAGTGTTGCAATGTCCACATGAGAGATTTTCTCTTTTTCCCGTCAGGCGAGTATATGTTCATGGTTTACCAGTGGTACGACGCTGGCTGTCGCGAAGAACAAAGCGCAGCTGACGATGAGGAAGAACATGTTATAAGTTGCGCCGGAATTCATGGTTGACGTTTGTGATCCGCCCTGTAAAGAATTACGGTTATAAATACTGAATAATTTCCTTAAGTTATGCTGGTTTTTTGTTATGGATATGGTATATAAATGATTTAATTTAAGACCCTTAGTTTTTCATTAAACTAATAGTTTGTGCCAGCACTATAATTTTAACAGTAATATGTTTGAGATAGTCGTTAGCCTCTGCGTACATTGTTATCTGATGTTTAGTATAACCGGGCTATTTCAAATAATCTGTCAGCTTCGTTAAACTGACAACTCAAAAGGTTCACATAAACCTTTAGGCACATATGAATAAACACATTAAGTCTGAAACATATCTGTGTTCTAGAAATATTCCTCTTCTGTAGTAATAATAAAATATAGTTATTTATCGTACAAGTATGCAATTTTATTAAGTAATGTCTACAAGTGAACTTTCACTTTGCAGTAACATTAAACAGAACCTCATAGTTATACTTCCATTAAGAAAATGTCTACGATATTTCTTTTTTATCTTCTATATCTATACATATAATAAAATTGGAGTGTCTGTAACATCAAAAAACAAATCCTGATTTCGGAAGATGATTTATTTGCGTTGCTGATAATGATAATCGCATTTGAAATTTTTTGTCTGTGTCGCGTTTGTTCCAATCTCCGAATCGGCTGGGCCGATTTCGACAGGACTTTCACTAAAGGGTAGCTGACATAGACGGTATATTATAGGCTACTTTTTTATCTTAACATTTCACGGACGAAGTCGCGGGCAACAGCTAGTTGTATAAATAAATGTAAGTCTAACTATGCTCACTTCCCAGTCTTTTGTTTGCGTATATCATTTGTTATTTAATACTGTGATATTTTGTATCAGTGGAATTTCGCACTCACATTCTCGTAATCAAACGCAAGTTATACTTACGAGAAAATATTAGTGAATTAAGACTTTTATATTTCGGTTTATTAGAAAATATGAATGTTAACATAACTAAAATTCTATTAGCAGGGCCGTTGTTAAAATAACTTCTGTATAATTTTCAATAATACGATTAATTTATTTAGTAGACACATCGACCATTCATTAAAGCAAATTTAAATGATGTTGTTTTAACATTAAATATTTATGAAACGAATAATGAAATGGAGTTATTTTGCAAATATACAGTTTTATATGGTTTTTGATTATGTTTCTTTTAGGAATAGTAAAGCGAGATATCTTTCGGTAGTTTTTTTTAGGTTATTTTTAATCGGAGTTAACTATTAGTTGAGATTCAAAGTGATTATTAATTTCCTGTGCTGAGCCGTGAACGACATTTAACCGATGTGCAGTGAACGGAGTGAACGGTATGCCTTTGGCGTTGTAATTAACTACCACCAACACTGACTCGTCAACACAAGCTAAAATTAATATTTGTGTTATCTTTTAACGATCATATTTTAATTATATTTCGTATTATATAAAAGAAAATTGAAAGTTTAAATATTCATATTTACTTAAATTGTAGGTACTTTATAAACACTGACAAAAAATTTAAAGCTGTGTGAACTTTGACAATTGCGGGTATTAGAATGAAATCAGAATAGTTCACTCTATAACTTAATCTAATTCTTAGTTAGTAAAAAAAAATAGGATTTTTATTGCCACAAAAAAAACTACATAAACATTTAATACACAAAACCTTAGAGCTAACATAAAAAAAGAGAGAGAAATGTATCAAAAGGTGGAAAGCTCAGCTAATGCAGGGACGGCGCAGGCCGTTACTGCGCTGGTTTTCAGCTGGCCCCTTTACACATTAGTATTAAAACACTAAGTTATGTCGTGTGTAGTGTAGTTTTGAAAAACACACTTGAAGGTAATCTTTTTATCAGTATTTAAAAGGTATAAATTTTACTAGAGTTTTGCATTGCATAAAAGGCTTCGAAAACCTTTGTAAATACAGCATAATGCATAAAAATAATCAAAGGGGTATGAAACTAAAAAAAATCCTGACAATCTTTAATGTTTTCTGTGGACTCATTAGTTGAAATGGTCGACTCGGCAAAAAGCTCGCTTACAATAGAACGTGTAATAAGCCGTGTAGGTAGCATTTTAATCACAAGGGTAGGTATCTGCGGTCGACATTAAATGAAGTATACGATTTGTTTTTCTATTTTAATCTCTTTGAATGAGACCGATATGTCAGGTACATGTGGAACTTCTTTGTGACATATTTTTAATTACATTTTTTATAAGAGACAGTGATAAATCGAACCTTATTACCGAACAATAGATTGTAATTTTTATTACGCGATATGATACAACTATATGTGCCAATGTACAGAAAAGGATACATTTTAAATATGATAAAAAAGTTGTAATTAAAACAATAACATAAATTAACATAACAGTTTTGTAATTCTCTACTAATTTGCGTCTGTCACAAAGTTGTATTAAGGCTTTCACCTAATTCTTTTTGTTTCACTAATATGGATGTTTTTTAATTTTCTTATCTAATTACTAAATTTATGTATTACTCGTTAAATTGAAAACTAAAGTTTTATCGATAGAGTTATATGGGTTTTAATTTAATAAAAGTTTTAGTGAAATGCACCCTCGTTAGCGGAACTTTATTCTAGTTTGTTGTATTAACCGCCAAGTTATGATAATCTCTTATGTGGTTTTTAAATATTAGATATATTTTTTTTACTATTAATGATTTTTTAATGCGTTAAAAATATGTTAATTTCGATTGTTAATTAACTTTTACAATATTTAATAGCTCTTGTAACCTAAAAGTTTCTAAACGATTTAAACGTATATAACTATGAAAAGCATAAAAATTATTTTGTATAAAAAGCTTTTGATTTAAATTCCACTATGTTAAAATATTCAACCGATTGACTATGCGAAACCAATAAGCCGTAATTAGTACACCTCTAACAAAACAATATTGCAAATCCAGAACAAAGGTAAATTGTTAATTCGTTTATTTGTGTTGAGATTGTTTTTTCTTAGTACACATAGACTAAGTTTTCACATAATTCTTAACTTCACAATTCACCAATACTAGGTGATAATCATCGCTTCAATGACTGTAGTTTTTTTTAAATATGGCGTTAAACTATAGATGTTGTTATAGATAATGTATGGAATAAAATAGACGAAGCCTGGACAGGTTATTAGCTTGATAAAAAATAGGTATTTCTGATATATTAAACGGAATAATGTTTATATGGATGGGTAAAAGGTATTCTGACGTCGTGATACCCACGGGGTTTGTATCGCAACACACACTGAATCTTGTGACGTTGGAAATCGCCTTGACAAATAATTGCCTTTGGATGTTATTTGTTATTAACTCTATCCTTTTGAACTGCATTAACTAAATTGTCATTATATTGATAAAAAAGAGAGTTTCTATAAATTTCCACAAGTTTCCTGAATTCATTTATTTATGGTAACACCATAAGTTACAGTGCCAGTTTTAGCGCCATCAGCGCCCTGGATCCAGAAAACTGTTAGAACAGTTAAAAACCGTTTTCTAGAGCACCTCCTTTTTTACCATGCGTTGGGGTGGGGCGTTAACAGAGTTAAAACATACATGAGTATAATTCGCTGACCTGCCGCGCCCGTTTCTTTCTAGCGCCCAGGGCGGTCACCGGACCGCTCACTACACTAACGCCGGTTCTGATGAGCTTGAGTTTATATAATCCGACAGGATTGTGATATCAAGGGATAAAGTCGACTAACTGATAACAAACAGGTAATGAAATTTGTTTGTCAACAAAGATATTCATATTATCCCAAAATCGATATACACAATTTGCCTGATTGTACCTTACCCTGAAGTTAATTCAACCGGATAATCTTATACGATGTGTTATTAATATGCGTAATCGTTCAAGTTGAACGAATGATGACATAAAGTAACAAGCTTACGTCTCGTCCTACTTAAAAGTCGATCACGATGCATAAACCCTAGCCGTAAGCTTTTAACGACGCGCTTTCAAACTGCTATAAGGGAAGTGGCTAAAGGGTTGGCTAGTGGAGAGTTAACATAATTGAATTTATATCCCGTAATCCCATTCACAAAACTGGTCCCCAAAAGGGGTTTATTAGGAAAAAAACTATCTTATTTAGAAATAAGTTCATTACTTTTTTCTTAACAAAATTGGTGTTTCAGCTTGTATTTTTATTAAGCTTGTTTCTATTAAAAAGTCGCATTTATCTACCTATTTAATAATATTTGTTAGTAGTATGTATTTCAATATAAGATCTTGTAAGAAACCATTTGTCATTTGTTCGCATAGATTTATAAAAAAGTAAATTCCAATATTTTTTAACTAATTAATGCTGAAGAAGAATAAATGAACTTAAATCGTAAAGTACATAATTGTGAACATGTCACAAAATGTTTTGCACATTATCGAAAAATATAAACAAGTCTTTTACATTTTCCGCATCGCTTACCGATTACAAAATATATTCATGATATTTTATTTTTCCTCTTTTCTCCAATAACGGGAAAATCTGATAACGTCAATAAGTATTTTCATTAAAGGCATTAAGACACTTCGGTTTCGCGCGGCTGGTAGAAATCTCATAAAAATAAATTCAATTTTTAAAATGTTCCCTTTCAACGAATTATGCGTAACATGTTTGTTTGGGATTTCATACTTTACAATTACGATGAGTGGGTTTTATGCTTTTGTTTTCACAGAAATATATCTTACTTTTTACCAATATTATTATAAACACGAAAGTTTAGATGGTTGTTTCTTTTTGGCGTAATTTATGGTGTTTAGGGACTATAAATAAACAGTGTATTTCTGAACCTCAGTGTTAAAAATTCATTAAATTTTACCTTTTCGCGGCTTACGCTGGCTAAACCGTTAGAGGTATATGAAAATGATGTATCAAAGAATTGTAGACCTCAAAAAGGTCTACAGAAAAGTCCGCGATCATATATATCTATCTTTAACGGTTTACTTCTAATAATTACTTTAGAATTAAAAAAAAAATGTTTTTGCGGCGTCGATTTCTTGGTTTTAATATTCATCCGTATCCAAATAAATGTGTTTGTTGTCAAGAGAATTTAATGTATCATCCACAGTATTTAAATTGGACAAACAATAAGGGAAAAATTAGTGGGCTTAGAAATGTCTTACATAGACATTTTTCTTACTGTATAAAGGTTGAAATAAAAGGCGAACGTAAGTTTTGTACACTTAAACACGACACGGATGAAATGGTGGGCACCAGGCAGTTTAGTGATATTATAAATAATATTACAAAATCTTCCTGTATTCGTAATATCAACCTCAAAGACAGTGGAAATCCTTGAAGAATTTACATAAACATAACAAGTTTTCTCATAAAGGTACTCGTTTTATGCGACACCGGGTATCTTAAACTTTATTTTATGCTGTATAGAGTTTCCGAGGCGGGTTCAGTTTTGTTGCATATCAGGTTAATTTATATCAAAAGTTTTAAATAAAATTAAATTAAATGATAATTAAGAATTTACTTAAGTCGCGTTTTGGTCGGAATACGTCGTAAATCGTAATCAATGGTTATTTAAAAAAATAGTCAAATTTCAAGTAAATCCCTTCACGCAATTACCTTTAAAAGGGGTTTAAAGTTATCGCTTCACGTATATGAAGCTTTATAAATTGGCCATGATTAGACTATAGTCGATCACTCTCTCCTAACGGGGATTGTAATTTAATTTGTGGATCGATAGAAATAAAATTAATAAATATCGTTCCCATATTATCTTAATATTTTCATTATGCGGTCGATCCGTGATATTGTTTTGATTCCTTACTAAATTAGGTATTCATAGGGGTTGTTATTGTTCAATTTTAGTTCGAGAATTATTTCCGATTGTACAATCTATCATTTGAATTGAGATGATAGCTTTTAAAGTATTAATTAATAGCGCAATCATAAATCAATAAATTCTTTTAATAAAATTAAAAAAAAGACTTTTTTCAACTTTGTCAATCAACAGTTCGGGCTAAAAACGAATTTAAAAAAGGATGAAGTAATTGGGCGCAAACCTATTGCGAAAATCTTGATGTTAACTTTAAAATCTGAAGTAATATTTATATATTGCTATAAAATAATATGTAAAAAACACACACACAAAAAAAAGTTTACTAACTTACCGTAACAATTCACTTCTCCAATCGAGTAATTTAAAGTAAATTCGTTAAATCACTGTAACGGTTGTCTGATCGAGCTCTTACTTCCGTGTTACCCCTTGATGGTTTTTGAAAGCAAATGAGAGCTAGGGGATGTTCCGCGCGGTTATATAGTGCCTTGGCCGCCGTGTCCTCGCTGCGTAGGTGCCGTAGCGCGTAGCTACGAAGCCGCTGCGATCCGAGCGATATTGTACATGTCCCTATATACATGCAAATATTAATCTTTCACGTTATTCATCGTGCATCTTCAAGAATGACATCTCAATTTCACATGTAACCATAATTTTATAAGACTTGCGTGACGTTGGTTTAATTAATCGTAGACACTTTATGTAGATGCTCGTTCATGTTTTGATTTAGCGTAGATATAATATGAAATAAGTGTTTTGACATGCAATAGGTTGTTGAAGTTTGAACTATGGATTTTAAGTTTGTTTGAATTTACCTCGCTTAAAGTTTTTAAAGAATAATTGTGGATCGACACATTACTGAAACGGTAATTTACCTGCGTTTAAAAGTGGGTGTATTTCTAATCATAAAAAATAATTTATTAACTTAACCTTATGTTTTGTCAGGATTTAAAAATTGTATTCGTAACATTAGGTAGACGCAATACTTTAAGTAAGTACTTGCAAATTTCATAACATCTGATGTCTTGTATTTTTATTTCAAACTTCGCTCTCACATCTGTTCACGCTGAGTACGATCTTGTTAATGCTGATGCCTTAATTATTTTGGAAAAAGATCTATTACAAAACAGCTGTAACTGTGAAATCATTAATTTTCACAAAAACTTGTCCTATTTCGTAATCGGCGCTTATGTTTTTTTCTTTTTATCAATCCATATCTGATCATTGAATATTCATAGTAAATTATAATAGGATTGTATTTGTGTATTTTACTGAACAAGGAAAAAAACTAAAGTTATCGATACAATGTCCAGTCCCCCCATGACGAGCTGATAATGTTCAATAATAATTTGTGAGTGATAACAAACGATTATGCTTTAGCAAACATAGCCATGATAAAAATGACAAATTAATGCGATATTATTGCTTTCTACTAAGCCCTCGCCACTGGAAAAAGGAAAATGTACACAATAATTGTTTCCAGGAAACTGTAGTATTAAAACAAAGGAGAGAAAAGATTTTATTGCAGAATAAAATTAAAAATGGAACTACTGTTATTTATCTTCTTCTATCTTCTATCTGTAAAAATATTTCAATGCTAACAGTTATAGTTTAAGTAAGACAACTTGGAAATCTATATTATTTGCTAACACAACATTTTTATATTCATTTAAAAATAATTGGTTATATTGTGGCTCACATTCTTATGTGTACATTATTTTATAATATTTCTATTCGGATACTTAACACAGATAGTATATTTATAATAGAGGATTGCCACATTTTATAAGAAAACAAAAATACACTCTTTGTAAAGAGCATATTCTTTTAATAAACTGCTTAACCCGATAAGAAGCTCTTAGTGCTTATTATATTTTAAAGAATGATTTTTTTTTTGAAAACCGTCACAGAAAAAAAAAACATCTGATAAGGTTTAACGTTTGCAAAGAACAAACTATAAATTGTCGTAATTCAAAAAAAAGATTATGAGCCGTCTTCACTCGTACACCACGAATGTCGATTAAAAGGTAGCAAATCCAGATTAATATATTATATATAGCGTTTTTTAAGATGTGATGTATGGAATTTAACTATACACGTTTAAAAAAATCTGTTTACTTAAAAAAAAGTACATTATTTTAATCTTTCACTTGTTTTTCCAAAGATTATTTTTCTAAGGTTAAATTTCTAAATGTTGTAATAGTTGAAACTGGTTATTAACGTAATTTAATTATAATTTTTCCACAAAAATGTCTAATTCACATACTAACTCAACATTAACATTTTTACAACAATTAAAATATTTATAAAACGAATAACATGAATTGTATAACATTAACATACGGTTTCTCGGCACATTTAATTTTCCCATTAAAATAAATAGAGCTCGTAGCCCTAAAGTAAACAAAACAAAACTTTCTACGAGCCATTATTTTTTCTAATTTGCATAGAGTTGGCGTTGATTATAACTGTTTAGTTATAATATTACTTCTATATACATTATTTTACTAATAGTAAAATATGAAATTTAGATGTATAGATGAATGGAAGGATGTTTGTTCGAGTTTGTAACCTAAACTGCTGAACAGATATCAAAATTTGGCATAAATGTAGAGGATAATCTGGAAAAACACGGGCTACTTCTTTTTTTTTTTTTTTAATTTAACAAGGTCACAAGCGAAAGCTATTAGTATATGAAACATCTAAACAAATTACAAATTAACATTTGTATTTAAATAGTATCCGAAAAACAATTGTGTTAAACCATTTATTATGTGCTTTATCAGAAAGATTTATAAAAAGTAAGTAAATTGCTACAGTTAATCTTACTTTTTAATAATATTATTAAGGCGAGAATTTGGATCCAGAGAGAGTTTGTTACTATGCATGGGGTTACAGCTCTAGACCAGCTAAACGGATTTGGATGATATGGTCTACTGTCTGAAAGGCTCACATAGACTAATTCGGTTTTTATGTTAATTATTCGCGGAGTTGCAGGCAATAGATAGTATTTCAAGTAATGAACTTTAATTTGATATTAACATCATGTGACTGGTATTAGATTCAGAAAGTCCAGTAACATGAGTTGTATTCCTCAAGCAAATTTTCATATTTCAGTTCATCGACACGCGGTCTTTGACTTTCATTAAAATCTTGCGACACCGCGGAAATCGTTTAGACATATTTTATAATGATGTTTCTCTTGCGGATGGGTTTTAATTAGAAAAGCTTTTTATGTACTTACGCTTACCGATTTTTAATTTCATAAACGAGTGACTAGATTTTATTGGCTAAGTTTTTTTAAGGGAAGGTTATTGAAGTTATAAATAAATATTGGCTTATTATATAAATAGGTACTGTTGAAAGGAAAAACGAGTTTTATTCGGAAAATCTGAACAAGATAGATGTTGTGGTCTAAAGAAGCAAAGTAATACCGCAATAAATATTAACAGAACACAAATTGTTTTGTTTTATAAAAATATCGTATTAAAGTGATCCTGTTTTTCTTCTTTAGTATTGTATAAGTTAACAAATTCAAATAGTGTTTTTTTAAAGTTTTAAAAATTTTAATATCAGTCCAAAAAGATTCCCTTTCTAATTAATATTAAACCGTGCATGTTCGTTGGATAACAAGAAACAACATTGCATTAATATGTAAGTACATTGTTTAAAACATACATTTTGTCAAGCATTCAATATTTCATATAAGGTTAGAGAGCGAGGTGGCGCCACATTTGTAAACGTCAATAAAACTTAACAATACATTTTATAAAGCAACCGCTATAATTTATAATGGATACCTAAGTGCTTTAAAAGGGGGTGCGTTGCGAGCGCCTGTACGTATCCATTTGCTTTTTAACACAGTTTTTATGTCCATTAAAATAAGTTATACTAAAACTATATATTACATTTAACTATGCTTAAGGCATATTGAAGAAGAAGAATCGTAGGCTGAATGCAAAAAGAAACATATTTTCTTTGAACAATTTACAATCCTGATCATAACATTGTTCGTAGCACTGTAGTTGTAGTACTATTCGTAGATTTATTCGTAGCACTATAGCACTAATTGGTAATGCATGTATTTCTATCAAAGATATGAATATTATTTCGTCGTATAAACATATATGAGTGTTAACTTAAGCCATCCTTCTCGTTCTCTTTGATAAATCCGAGATATGTCATTACGTATCTCTAAAACAGGTTAACTGTACTCGATGATACACTGTAGGCACTGAAAAAACTAATAGACGGCTTACGTTTTTTGTTTTAATTCCACCAGTGAAATCGCATGCAAAAAGTAGTTACAGATAATTTAAGTTTAAAAACCCTATTAACGCCAACAATCCGTGGTATGATTTATCGAACTTAATGGTTAGTTAAGTAGCACTTACAGTGGTCGTAATGAATTATTGCCGATAAAAGCTAAACGCATATGGCCATAAATCTATTGAGAAAAGAGGTGTGTTATTTATTACCACAACGATGTATTCGCGGCAGTGTTAATATACTGCGATTAACAAAATTCCAATGTCATTAATAATGTATACCATTACTGTTATTGGTCGTGATTACTATTAATAGGAAATTGGTGTTGCCATAAGTGAGTGTTGATTAACACTATTATCCGTATTAATAAAATAATGCATTTTCATTGTTCAACAAATGTCATGTTACAATTGCCACCAAATTGTAGGTTATAGGTAAAGTGAATTACAAAAAATACAGTAGCAATGGAATTTTACACTAACATTTTCTTTATTAAAATATCTAGAGCCGATTATGTAAATTGTTGATAACGTTTTGATAGACCACAAATATATCGTCAAGGGAGTTAATGCCAATTAAGATCCGAAGGTCACTTTTAGAATCACGCAATCAAGTACAAAACTACAGTAGCGTAAACCAATATAAGTTGAGAAGGCAAATAGGCCTCCCCAGGTATCGTGCTAAATATTTACTTCACATATAGCTACTCTATTGGTTTCTGATTACCATCAAATTAAGTATTAACTTAATTGAATATTAATTCATAGTAGTGTAATTCTATTTTATATGTCTAAAAATATTTATTAAACACCATTATAACTTGAAAGTTATTTAACGATAGCTAAAAGTCATATTTATAATAACACGAGCTGTTGCCCGCGACTTCGTCCGCGTAGTATTAGAAAACATACAAACTATATAAATTACAATAAGTTACGTATCCCTCGGGAACCGGACGTTTCTCGGGGATGAAGCTTATCCCATGTGTACTCCAGACTTTGTTTTATATCTGTTCCAATTTCGATAAGATATGTTGAACCGTTGCAGAATGATCGAGTTAACATTAAAAAACTAAATTAATGAATCCCACAGGAACCGTAACTATTTCCGGGATAAAAAGTAGCCTATGTGTTCTTCCAGACTATGCTCTATACCTGTGCAAAATTTCATAGAGATCCGTTCAGCCGTTTAGGCTACAAACGCTAACAAACATCCATCCATCCATCTATCCATCCATCCATCCATCCATCCATCGATCCATCTAAACTTTCGCATTTATAATATTAGTAAGATAGTAACGCAAAAATTATAGATACATGCATTTTTATAACAAAGGGGATATCTCTTAGCGTCCCTTTAAAAGTTGTATTTGCCTGTAGGTTTGACAAAACAAATGCATCACAAAGTTGTTGTTATAAAAATTATATATAAATGTGACATTTCCAGTTAGAATATCCGGTGAAGCATAATCATATGTTATTGATTCCGTAAGCATTCTAACGAGCAGACTGCGAGACCCTTGTTACATGCTCCGGTGACCGCGCACTTTAAATAAACAGCAATTTCTACAAACATCCTTTGAGATTATGTTTTATACTAACTGAAGCCCGACTTTGTCTACGCGAGGCATAAGTTTCTGATTATAAAACCTCCCAGTTTTTTTTATCTCGTCAGTTAAAATTTGTATGTTAAATTCCATTCATATTCACATGTATATTTAAGAGTATAATATTTAAGATAAGAAGTCCCGAACCAACCGTTATACAAAGCTGGGAATCGTTACCTTATCTTCCAACGTTGTAACCTATTTATGAAGTTTGCAGTGCAGTTATGAATGTTATGAATTTTACGTAAAAAATAAATAAAGATAGGCATCCATATAAGATAACTAAGAATAACCCACTGTTAATACAATGCTTATTCAAATATACTACATATGACATAAGACTAAAAACGAACTTTTTTATTTACTAGCTGTTGCCCGCGAATTCGTCGTCGCAATATTAAGATAAAAAGTAGTCTATAATATGTCGGCCTATGTCAGTAACCCTTCAGTGAAAGTGTTTACGAAATCGGCCTAGCCGTTTCAGAGATTACCCGGAAGAAACGCGGCTTGCGGACAAACATAAGACTGACAGACAGAGAAAAAAAATTTTAATGCGATTTTCGTTATCGGCAAAACAAATATATCTACCCGAAATCTGGTAATTCTTTTGATATTACAAACAGATACTCCAATTTTTATTATATGTACAGATATATCTTATTTTGATAAGTAGAAATAAAGTTTTAAGTTTTGTTTTACGTTACATATGATCATTTACCTAGAATTTATAGCATACGAAACTTTCAATGTTTTCAGTTTAAATTCCAAACAAACATTTTCACCAATATATTCATACGCAAGGTGAACTTTTATTCTATTACTAGCTGTTGCCCGCGACTCCGTCCGCGTGGAATTAAAAAAAAAACAAAAGTGGGTAGCCTATGTGTTCTTCCAGACTGTCCTCTACATCTATACCAAATTTCATCGAAATCCGTTCAGCCGTTTAGGCTACAAACTCTAACAAACATCCATCCATCTATCCATCCATCCAACCATCCATCCATCTAAACTTTCGCATTTATAATATTAGTATGAAAGTATGATTTGAACACTAGCTTCATCTAGGATATCAGTTCACTCAATCAGAGATAATATCGAATTACGTTACGTATTAATATCATTGCTTTTATTATTTCCACTCTTAAGTAAAAATAACCTTTAAATAAATACCGCAGATATCTTCTTGAATTTTTTAGAGTTTCTTGCAATTGCCAGTAAAAGTTTACTTAAAAATCCCAACCCATAATAGAATAAAAATGTGTTTTTTCCACATGTTTCCGCAATAGAAACCCGTGTTATGTGGCACGTAATAGACTACTTACGTATTCTGCACTATCGCTTCAGTATTACAGATAGAGTATGGTACTCGTAAGTACAATCCATGCAAATTGTAAGCTCGGATAATTGCCCGTACAGTAGAATTCAGGTGTGCATTAAATTTTACTGGCCCACGTCCTCAATAAGCTGGCACGCTCCATGAATTCGCAATACAATTTCTATAAGGTCATGTGCACTACGTAGGCTGTACCATGAAAATTTATAAATACACTCATAATATTTTTTAATAATACTTATTACGACCAGTCTTTAAAAAAAACAAACCTATGAACTGTAAATTAATATTTTAACCCAAAAAAAATCTACGGCAAAACTTAAAATCTCTACATAGTTAAGCTTGCAAGACCTAGATGCAATGTACTTGTATTCGTACTTGACTATATATGTTACACTAATTTTAAAATTAAAAACATATTTTACTTATTCTAAATACGGCGAAATCGATTTCAAATCTATTTGAAAAAAGACAGTAAGAATCGCATCGCTGTCCTTCATATTCCATTCTGTTGTTACTTTTGTTCTTTTGTGAGAGAAATGGCTGACTGTTGGAGCACACAACACGACATCGAGCCGTATTTGTCCATAGAGGAAAATATGTACAAAGAAACCTTAGATATTTCTACTCTACAACGGAACATCGACCTACTTTGATGCCATTACGATTGTAAAAGTTGCTTACACTTTTTTATGAAATATGGAAAAATGGTATTTATAGATTTCATAAAACGACAGAACTTGAATAAAACAAAAAAGGTATGTCTGTTATAATAAATCCCTATAATGCTTAGGTTTTATGTAAATGTTATAAAAATAAAGAATCATTTGTTTTAAAAATAAAACAAATAAATTGGACAGGACAAACTGGTTCAAGCTCAATTACTGTGTTTGGCTGTAAATTATTTAGGAATAAAAAAGTTGAACTCAGAGCCATCTATTATTTCAAATGGGAATGGTTCATACCTGAAAGGGCGATAACTTTGTGCCCTTATTGTAAAGTTTCATCTTAACACAAGATGTCTTTATAACTAAATTATATGAAAGAAAAATAACTATAATCAGAATACTTTTATTACTAAAATCCTTTGTGTGGTATTGTGTAGTGCTGTTCAATGTAAATAGACAATTTACGGTTCTAGAAGTTCATATATTTATTTAATGGAAAATGATGTTGGTAGAAATCCGGAAGAATTGCAACTAAGTAGCTTGATATGATTTATAAATCTATTGCGAAACAAATATCTGGGGTTTTCGAACCTGGCGTTGCAAAACGTTGATATTTATTATTCATTTACATATTATCTTGTAAATCATACATTTAACAAGAGGGAGTAAACATATTTTAAAAGGCTGTATGGAGCGAATTACTTTATCCCGAAAAGAGAGCGCTGAGTGGCGATGTTATCGAGGTTTGTTGGCACAAAATACTATGGTTGTTTCCTTATTTTATAAAAAATAAGCTCCGAAAAAAGATAATAAAGAATGCAAAAGTTTCCTTTTGATTTATTTTTAATGTTACAAATTACGACTAAAACTTCACTTAGCGTAGTAAATTAATTGTATAACAATTAAAGGTAATAAATACGTGACAGATCAGAAAAGTTTTATGAAACACATCGAAATGTTTTACTTGTTTATTATACAATTAATGAAATTGTTACCTATTAATATTTAAAATGGAATAATAGGAAAATACAAAATTTCAGTATCAAATAACGGCGTAAGCGTGGGGCGTTAGAAACAGGTGACCGCGTTGAAGTAGCACCGCAGCACCCGGCCGCGACCGGAGCCCTGCCCACGCCGCTGTAGCGCCGACTGGAAACAAAAAAAACATTAATTAGTTAAACATAGGTAAATGTATCTCGTATAATTAGTGGCAAAACAAACTTTTAATAAGTACTCAACAGCAATGAGAGGACGTGACGTGAACCAAGAGTTAGGGTTAGAGATTTTTTTTGTCAATTATTATTTATAATTAACAATAGATTGTTTTACATACCAAGTCATTAGTGTCCATGTTTGAGATACGTAGCGGCGCAGTGCGAGGGCCGTCGCGGTCTACGTCATAGCGCGCTCCGCCATCGTGTAGTGCTTTCTGTAGCGCCACCAGCAGCCGGTCCAAGACCAACGCTGCGCGTTTCTGTGGCACTATCACTTGCTGAAAAGTTATTATCATGTAATTTATCTTAGTAATGTTATAAATGTGAAAGTTTAGATGGATGGATGTTTGTTAGAGTTTGTAGTCTAAACGGCTGAACGGATTTTGAAACTTGACATAGATGTAAACATAGTCTGGAAGAACGCTATTCAGGCGAAGATCAGTCGCTAAGAAGGCTATTCACTTTTGTTTTTTTCAATTCCATGCGGACGGGGTTGCGGGCGAAAGCTAGTAATTTATATTTTCATTTTAACAACAGAAACATGATAAGCAACTCTGTTGCTAACAAGTTACTAGTGACTTGACTAGTAACAAACAGATAACCAGTTTAGAAAACCATGTAATTTATGCAACGTTCTACATCTTTGCATAACATATTATACGTATAGATCTATTATATTGGTCTTTTAGGAACTTCGTGTGACCTTTAGAAATAAACCGTAAACGCTATAGGTTACAATATTAGTAACTACAAACAATAATAGCGTGTAAGTTGCTAATGCTAAACGCCAATATACGAATACTAATTCATCTCACAAACATAACAAGCAATTTAGCTCAATACTTGTAAGCATACGATTAAGTCTTTCCGGCTAGGAAATGTTTTTGTAGAAGCATGTTTTTCATTTTTTTAAATACTTATCTTGCTACCTTACTAATCTTACTAGTGATATAAATGCGAAAGTTTAGATAGATGAATGGAGTTTGTAGCCTAAACGGATCTGGATGAAATTTGGCATAGATGTATAGCATAGTCTAGAAGAACTCGTAGTCTACTTACTTTTGTTTTTTTTTTAATTCCACGCAGATGGAGTCGCGGGCGAAAACTAGTTTTAAAATAATGAAAAGTTTATAATAGTCCGTCACTATCGATTGATTAACTTAATGGTTTAAAATAGATATGCAATGTTATAGAGATTTATCTTTTCAAAACTGTAGTGTAGTCATTTAGTATGTACATACATCGCTGACGTCATTGGCTTCCATACTTCTGACATATTCTTCAGGGTAAGCTGCGGGCACTGCGGACACGGCGAGTGTGGCAGACAGCGCGACGGCGACAATCTGAACGAAGAGCATCATCGCGTTGGCATAACACGAACGCACCCTGTAAGTAATAATAAATGATTTTCCAATTGATAGAAAACAGAATATGTGAAACTAAAAATTAAACAATAAACTATGTCTTATTTTCTCTGTAAAGATAACTGTACAAAAACATTACTGAAGTGTAATTTCTGAATACAAGTAAACTTAATATTCTTGAGTAATAAAAATATACATTTTGATAAGTTTTTAAATTGACATAATTTGAATATATGACTTGAAAGGTGAGCTGCAAAACGACCAAGACAAGATGTAAAAGGCATATGTAGTTATTATAACATAATACGATTATAGTCCTCAAACGTCAAGGTACAATTTTACGGGATGAAGATATGAGGATCGAATTCGGCTTTGAACTCGTTCTAAATATAAGAGTTTACATCAGAACTACTCTTTTGACATTTATGACAAAAAGTGTCTTTATTTATTTAAACTGAAATATATTACAATACATAGTGTAATGTATTAAATTTCAGTTTTTTCTTTGTTTATTTATTTTTTATATTATTTATTTTCATTTACAAGGCCATTGAAAGACCGGTCATGATTTATGGATTTGAATGTTGGGCAGTAAAAAGAACGGATGAAACGAGACTACATGTGGCAGAAATGCGAATGTTAAAATGGATGTGTGGGGTAACACGAGTGGATAAGATACGAAATTATTAAATTAGAGCAAGGTATAAGAGTAGCCCCAGTAGTAAAGAAGATAAGGAGTTAGCATAGTATGGGCATGTTATGAGGAGGGATGAATCGCATGTTACAAGGAGAACGTTAATATAAATATCGAATATATTATTATACTATAATATCGTTAAAATATCGAATTTCTTCTTTGCAATGAGCACGGTATCTGGGTTATTCGTTTCGTGTTATAGGTTTTAAATGCCTTTTAATAACTCCCACACAGTTTGTAGCTTTAAAGAAATGAACTTTCTCAGTATTTTCTTCTATCGTTATTTTTCTTAGCTATGAACTAGTAACCTGATCTAATTGTATTTTTATTTTATTATATATTTAATATAAATACAAACAATGTTTGCAAATAGACCTTTAGAATGATTGAGTGGCTTTCTCAAATATATCAAATAATATTAATAACTAATGTTCGCCCGCAACTCCGTCCGCGTGGACTTGAAAAAAAACAAAAGTAAGTAGCTATCCTCTACATCCGTACCAAATTTTATAGAAATCCGTTCAGCCATCTAGACTACAAACTCTAACATCCATCCATCCATACCTCCATCTAAACTATCGTCTTTATAATATTAGTATGAAGTATGATATATACGTCTCGTAAACATGTAATCCTGTTTGTTTTTCAAATCCTTCCATTAAAACTGTAATTATAAATGACGTGTTATTATTCATAACTCTGGCCGAAAACTAATTTAAAGTCGTCTAAATAGTTTTGCCTTTAGGGTTGTTTGTTTACAAATTTTATTTCAAGTTCAATTTTCAACGCCCCTTCATAAAGCTTAGTTTAATGTAATTAATAACTTGTTTTGGTACTGATCACCCTTAATACTGCTAATGTTCTTAGTTTCAAAGTTTCCCGCCATCAAAACTTATGTAAACTTCCTAGAATTTTTATTGTCTTGCTATGAACAGTAGTACTTTTTAAATATGCCCAATTTCATACGTATTAGGTATCTTTCAAAAATTTTTCGTTTCTATAGTTATTAATTAGATGTAGCAATCTCTATACGGGACAGTATTATAACAAATTTGAAGATAAAAAGCTAATATATTTAAAATATATTGCGAATTTGTATCCAGTGAACTTAGCAACGTCATCTATTACCGATATCTAAAGGTCATTTTTCGTTAGAACGGTTAATCTAACTAGACAATTCTATTGCCTTATCTTACAAAAATAAAACGGAATTTTTGGAAAAACTTATGAGCTTTAAATTCACCTCAGCTCAGATATGGATTTCCCCATTAATGCGCCTAGGTAGTGCCCTCCACTCATAGTGGTAACTAGGTCTTAGGCTATGACGCTGGACAATTGCGAGTTGGTAGACTTCACACATATCTTTCAGCTATTTCGTAGGTATCTTTAGGTTACACTACAATGTTTTTATTTACCGTGAAGACGTCGGATAAATATACATATGTTAAATACAATAAATGCAGATTTACAGTAAATTTAAATTAGTCAAAACATCAGTAACGCATACGCAAAGTGCCGTGAAGTAACATCTTAATTTGACTATATGCCTTGTGGTTAGTTAAGGACGAAGACCCAATTATTGTTAACGATTTACTTAACGGTAACAACGTTTGGTCTTTTCCTTATTGGGAGCCTTCACTTAATATATCTATTGGTTATGACCTTTCTTTTATTAATCCCTTTAGATTTAAGATGTATATAAAAGGCCATTATATGACCTATTAACGAATTTCCAACATTATTGCATAGTTATTGCAATAAGTACATTTATTTTATGATATAAGAACTAGGATTTTATAAGGTAGCCTTAGTAAATGCCTCTGAGTGTGGAATTTAAAGACAATATACAAGTATTATTCATGAAGTAAAAATTTACTAAAGCCATCATTGCTTTAGTAAAAGTGCGAGAGACAATAAAAAGAAATGTGTCACATGTGTTGCGGAAAATCCATTTTGTCCGAGTCCAGAAGCGTCATGAAACGAAGACTTAATACGAAATATAAGGCTTTATTGACAGATGAATGACAAGGCGCAGTTGATTCTAGATGAGAAAGCTTATCCACTTGTTTATTTCTTAAGGTCAAAACAATTTAAAACACGTTATACTTTGTTTTAAAAGGTAGTTTTTTGTTCTATTTTCAAAACACACAGAAGATATTATTACTGAACGTGTATACAATGTACTCATGAAAACCTATAGCTGCGTAAATTATTCATCTAATTAAAGATTTTATTGTGATTTTAAAACTTTAACAAAATTACGATGTAATACATTTTGTAAACCTGATTGAAACTGCAATTTAACTATTACATTTAACCGTATAAAGTAAAAAGAAAAAAGTATTCAACAATTTTAATACTTAAAACAACTTAATATTAATACTTACAATAGAAACACGATATTCACCAATTAAAAACACTTATAGAATTAAAATGTAACTAAGCAATGGTTTTCGTACGTAATAAAGTTTAGTAGCGAGAGCGGTTGCTTGACGGAAGCTCAGAAGGTTGTGTAGAGCGGTTTGTGCGGCGCGAGAGCCTTTATAACGCCGCCCAACGCCGCCCGCCCAACAAGCCAGCCGCCCAACTGGCCAACGAGGCCACACGTTAACACACACAGACTACACTCAAACATCTTTTTATAATAAATCTATTTGAAAATAACACTGTTGTATTACTTGTTAATTAAATATGTTTCTGACGCTGAAGTAAAAGTTAATATTTGTTGTTTTTTTTGTTTTAATTAATAAATATGTGTACGGTCGAGAAATGGTTCTAAATGTGAAAACCTCAGCTGTCGTAAACAAAAAATATATATATTTTTTACGCTAAAATCATAAATTCCGCACAATTTTAGCTTTTTCTTATAATTTTCACAATTTCAATGATAATAAATTCACACTATTTGTAAGATCAGAGATATGAGTGTTCGTTTTTGATTAAGATGTCTCCGTGTTCATAAAAATTATACAATCATAAAGTTCGCCGTGAACCATTTGTATTAATATTGAGAAGGGGAATCTGTAGCTATAACTAGAGGCCGAAAATTTTGTGTATCGAGCGACAAGCCTAATAACCTAATAAATGAAATATAAAAAATTACTTATAAAGGGAGTAATAATTATGACCTAATGAAAAATCTCGAGTGTCTTTTGTGATTAGTAGAAGGCGTAGCACCTACTAAGTATTATGCCAATGATTCTTATGTTTTTAAATCGGCTCAGTAGTTTTTGAATTCAGTCATTACATACAAAGATACAAGTGTTTCCTCTTTATAAGATTAGTATAAAAGTATAGTTAATGGAGTCTTACATATACATTTTATTAAGGTATAACGAGTTATCAAGAATACTACAATCGTATTGAATAATTAGTCTTGTTTTTTTAAGTCGTTGAGAACCAGGTGTATCTACATGTCTTTTTTCTCACGGGACATGGTTAAAGTTCAAGTAGGCTCTAAAACAAACGCCATATACGTATCAGTGCAGTGACGTTTTTTCGGTATATTAAAGCGTATTTTGCTATAAAAGGATTACGCTTATAGGGCTATTTTATTGCCCACGCTCTGATATGACTCGAATATTGTATAAAGTCATTAAATTCCCACGTGAGTACACAATAAGCTTCCATGTTCATAAACAGCCGCTATCGAAAACAAAATTAAAATACAAGAACGATGTATGTATGATGAGACAGTGGACAATGCAGTCTATTAACTCTTAAATTTCAGATTATTTAGATGATGGCTTATTTGGATATCTAAGACTAAAGACATCGCGTCTTCAATGTTTAGCTTTTTCTGTAAAATAAATAACCTAATCGTTTATCTTATAAGTACTTGGAATTGACGATTCTTAGTACAATTGGTATGCATAGAATATAAAATATCCACTTCTTTAGTATTTAATTATATTTTGCTAATTGTCGTTAGCTGAGTGTAACTATGTAGTTTCGTTTACATAAGTATCAATTTCATTTTTTATAAATGAAAAACAATAATGGTCGTAAATCCCACTCGCGACCCTTATTCGTCGTTTTTCATTCACCTATTTTGCATATGATCGATAGAAGATAAACTCATGTTACAACCCTAATTTATAATCGTGACACAAATTGGATGCTGCGTACTACGATCCCAAAATTTACGTTAAGACGAAGGCGACGTAGCTACTTAGTGCTACGTGGTTATTTTCGCTCGTGCAGAGGTCACAATAACATTCGCGGGGGCGTCGCGTCTGGTAATGCAACAAGGGGCAGCCCCGTCGTCCTAATGTGCCTATCGTGTCTCCCAGCAAGGGGTATATAGCCCTCCGCCACTCACCAGGGACGAGCATTAAAATCGTGATCGCTAAACGTATATAGCGATCTAAGTATTCCACTTATTTTTATAATTAAAAGGTCGCTTTTTTATGGTTGTTGATTTTAACTACTTGCTTTTAAATTTAATGTTTTCATTAATCTACGTGCTGGAACAACTTTTTTTTACTAAATAGCACATTAGCTACTAACACATTTAATGAGTAAGTAGATAATACCCTATTTCCTAAATAGATGAAAATGTGTATGTTTATTATATGTATTATAATTGTTAGTATGTGTATGTATGACGATTGATCTGTCATTCGGTTTTACCTTTGAGGTTGTTTTTTACGATTTGCAATATTTGTTTTTAGGATAAGGCTAGTTCGGTATTTACGATTAGCGCTTATATGTGACTGACACATTTTTAAAATAATTGCCCGTATCTCCTGGTTCTAATTAACATTCTATTAACATCATTACAGTACATTTTCTTTACTTTGAAAAGAACTATAAATGGATTAAATCTGGAATAAAATATGATCAATTGGCAACAATGTGTTTGAATTTATTATCTGTTTTCTATTATGTTATCTGTATTCAGATTCTGTATCTGTATTCTTTCGGACGCCGATCGACTTGCGAAAGACCGTATATTAAAAGACAAATATCACTATATTTGAGTTAATTTCAGCATTTAACTTCGTTGTTTCTTTATTTATTGTGGATTTGTATAATGTGAATATCGTTTTAATACGTTTTTAATATCAACGTATTGCCCGAAAGAAAAAAAATCAATAATTCTTGATCAAAAATTTATTTCAGGGCGCGAAATAAATCTCCAACAGCAACTTCGGATAAAGATAAAAAGAAGCTCAAAGAAAAGAAGAAAAAAGAAGAATCTGGTTCTAGTAGTAGTGACAGCAGTGGAAGGTAAGATTGTAAATAAATAACACGTATTGATTATATCAAAGGGCATCTATAGGTTATACTTCCAACGTTCGAACTTTATAAACATGTACATATATCAATATCGAATACTGCGTTTATGCGCGATACACATTTGGCCAGTACAGTCGGTTAGTAGAGGGGCGTGGCAGGGAATGTTTGGACTGTGCGTCGACTGGCACAGTGTGAAAGCTAACTAGCAACAGTGCTCCCTGCTACCATGCTCATGACTGGCCGAACTTTCTACTTTTTTGTACAGTCCAGTCATTTCGCCGCACCTGGCGTAGTATGAACGTTTCTTTACTCTACGACGTACATTTTCGTACGAGTTTACCAAGTTTAAAAGCAGATCAGATGACTATGACTATGTACATATATTAATATTAATTTGACATATCGTTGAATAATAATAAATGTAATATTTTGCAGTTCATCAGACAGCAGTTCATCCCGGTCATCATCGCGATCTTCATCCAGCAGCTCTGGCAGCTCGTCTCGGTCGTCCTCATCTTCAAGCTCATCAAGCAGCAGTAGCAGCAACAATGACCGCTCCAAAGCTAAGAAAAAGTAATTAACTATGTTTATTAATGAGATGCAAATGTGCAACTCAGTTGCACTGGTGTTGCAGATGTCCGTGAACATTCATAATCACATTATTGTTCCTACCGATCATTTGCTCTCTGCTTTTATATACAAAAATGATCTTTAGGTACTCTAAATATCCAACCCATTACAATATGCATTAAGTTGATGAATCACAAATACTGTAAGTGACTTACATTATAAAAGTTGTTTGATACTTATGTGTGAAATCATAATGTGAACTTATTAAAAATATAACATTTACATTATGAAAAGTGCTAAAACTATTTCTTGCAAATTTTTAGGACTTCACCACACAAGGATCCAATCAAGGATCGCCGTGAGCCAGATAATAAGTTGAGGGAACGATCTCCGACTGGGGATAAAAAGAAACCAGTGTTACCCATTGCCAATGACAAACAGAAGAGCAAGGATAAGCAGGAGAGGTAAATACAATCAAACGGCTGGCATTGACAAACAATTGATGATGATGCTTGCTAATAGTCTGCAATTTACAGTTGCTAAAATATGTTATCTGTTTTATGTGGTCTCTAAGTATTGATACGAAAAATTATTTTCAGATCACCCGGTCGTAAGAAGAGAGAAAGATCTCCACTCCCAAGACCGACTCGAATACACATTGGCCGACTCACTATGAATGTAACTAAAGAGCATATTAATGAAATATTCTCTACATATGGCACTGTGAAAGTAGTGGAATTCCCAATGGACAGACTGCACCCATACAATGGACGAGGTTATGCATATGTTGAGTTCAGTAATCCAGATGAAGCTGAAAACGCAATGAAACACATGGATGGAGGTGAGATATATTTACAATTTCTTTCAATCATGAACTTATTTTGTTTATTAAAGATTTATTATTGATTGTTCAGGTCAGATCGACGGGCAGGAGATAACGGCAGCCCCTGTGCTGATCCCGACGCGGCCGCGGCGGCCCTCCCCGCGCGCCCCGCGACACCTGCCGCCGCGCAGGCACTCGCCGCCTAGGTACCACTCTCACACAGACTGCCTAAACCAGAACTATATACATTTTAAAAATAATTCTCCATATCCCAATATTAGTTAATGAGAATATGACATTTAAAGAAATCATCATGTTTAATATGAGTGTTTCTTGTTAGAGCGGTTGATATATTCAATGGGAAATGTTTTGTCTTTTGTATGATAAATTCCTATTGTAATATTTTCCCATTGGGTCAAATCTGTAATCAATACACCCAATAGGTGGTTAGTGCAAAAGAAAACATCTTATGTTTATGAGTAGAATGGTATAGATGGGGTATTTTGTGAAAATCTGTTTCACACCATCTAATGTTAATATGATTATTAGTTATTATGAGTTTGTTGCAAAGAGTATAGCGGTGGTGTGTGGTGCAGGTACCGCCGGCGCAGTCCGCCGCCGCGCCGCCGCTCGCCGCCGCGCCGCCGCCGCACGCGCTCGCGCTCCCCGCGCCCCGCCATGCGCCGCCGCCGCTCCAGGTCCTCCTCCGCTTCCTCACGATAAACACACACACACACACACACACACACTGATCACACACATCCATTCCATTTCAAAGTTATCAGATATTTTAGAGAATCCTAAAATTATCCCTCACATACACAATAAACTCATACTAACCTCACAAGACAATGCGGAAACCTTACAGAGGTAAGTTATCCTTAGCGTAATAGGTAAGTATGTGACAATGTAACATTTGTTTACAGTAATTGTAGCTTATCAAAAACCGAAAACCCATATTAATTGGTAATTTCTTATCGTTAAAAGCTTGCAAAATGGAAACTGAGCCGAGTGAGTGATCAGTGCTATATTTAACTTTATTACGACAAACAGTGAAGTGCTTATCTGTATTTTGTTCAATATAATTTGTAACTAAATGGACGACCCAATTTTGTTAATAAATAGTGACAACATATATGCCTTTTATTTGTATTCCTTTGTAAAAAATATAAAAAAAGTTGATAGATCTAATTCTAGTCCTCTTCTCCTTCCTACCCTTTTCTTATAAGGTAGGGATGGGAGGAAGATGGATTTGTCAGAAAAGGGAAAATATTCTCTTTCTGTACAATGTTAGTTTATTGAGTTATGCTGCAATCTGCAAATACTATTGTCTATGGGCAATAGTCACTTCAATAGTTTGGTGAATTCAAATGCCCCTGGCTCATTTGTCAGTTTTATACCATAAATACACATTTAGAGAAGATATTTGGGACTGCATTCAAATAATACAATCAATAATATAAACAGTTTATTACTAACACTTTACTTATTATGAATGGTTTATTGTAACAATTTACTCAATTATGTAATCTTCATTATTGACTTCCTGATCTTCCTTGTTACCTATTATTTTACAATAACTCTGATAATCAGTTACAAGTATTTTTCCCTTATACATAAAGTTTTTATCCAGAAGCTGTAATTGATGCATAGTCCTGAAAAATAAGATATTTAGTACTTAAGTTCTCATTTATCTAATCAAGAACCTCTGTTTTAGATTAAACACAATAGGTTGAATAAAAATAGTTTTTACTTACGGATATTGAGGATTCATGTTTTTTGGTCCCCTGACAGGATTCCAAGCAGACACAGGTGCCTTGTTAGCGAGCATCATTCCAGCTACGCCGATGTATAAACCATATTCTTGACAAAACTTTTCCTACAAAAGTTAAAAAAAAAAACATTTAAAAAAAAATTATCTAGTAAGTTATAATGTGAAGCTCTCATAGTCTGAATGAGAACACAGATTTCCAATTACGTGGCTGAGGGCTCGAATCGCGCCATGACTATTGTGAACTACAATACCCTTGGTAAAAGAAACATTAAATGATCATAAAACAATTATGTTTAAAACATAAAAAAAAATATAGAATGCACATTGGAATACAATGAAGAAAAGAATATTTTATGCCTGTTTATTTAGCAATCATATTGTATTAGTATAAATGTGAGAGGTTGCATGGATGGATGCTTTTTACTATGTGACTCCAAACTGCTCAATAGATCTTGAAGAAATTTGACACAGATGTAAAATGACGGGCTACTTACTAAGTTGTGTGCTTAAGGTAGCAAATTGTTAAATTCAAATTACCCTCCATTCCGAAAGCAGGAAGTCAGCATCACTGAGTGCAGATGTGGCTTTTTCAATATCATGTATACAAGAGAAATGTGGTAAGTAATTTTCTTCAAGGAAATTTATAAAAGAACCTGGATTAGATAAAAATTGGTCCACAATTTCTTCAGGCGAATGTGACAGTTTTGATATTCCATTTTCTTCAAAAACTAAAAATATTTTTAATATGATTCATACGTAATAGTACTATTAACATCAAGGGACAATGTCGTTATTTTTTTTGTACTTGAATAATAAAAAGTATGGTAAATATATAACATTGTAAACTTACCTTTAGGATTTAAGACCCTGCCGACTCCATGCAAGATGCTGACAGTCTGATCTTTACCAAGTGACATAAACTTATGTGTAGTCTTTTTCTTCTTTGTTTTGCCTTTACTTTTACTTTCCTTAATTATACTAGTTTCTAAGCTATGATTTATACCTAATAAGATAAAAGAAATTAGAGTTAAATTTAATAAATTAAAATAATATTTAGTTTGCGATCTTACCCTTTAAGCTTGCAAAGTGCAAATTTAGAATAGCAGATCTAACATCTCCACCGGAAGTGTTGACAACAGACTCTATCAAGTCCATTGTTGGAATATTGTACATACTATCATATTTTTTGTTTATAATATCGGATGCTCTTTTCAATGCAGCCCTCAAGCCTGTTGTGGAAACACTATTGAAGCTAAAAAAGACAAATAGAGTACTTTTTACAAAACAAAATGTTAGAATTGTGTTTTGATGTTTTTTTTTATTAGTATACTTACACAACATGGTGAATCTGAAATTGTTCTTTTAAACTTGGTGTAAATATATTTAATGTTGTATTTTTGTTATCTGAATTATTTTCCGAACATATGAACACAATTGGTGATTTTGCTCTATTAACATATTGCCTGAAAATTTGTTTTATGTTTTACCTTTGGAAAAGAACTAAAAATGCAATTTGAATAACAATCTAAACTCACTGTAAAACATTAGAAAATTCTGCTGGTGTTCTCAGGAAAGTGTTAGGAAAATCTTCAACTAGTACCAACTTATTACTATTGTTGTCCAACAATGATGTAAAATTGGCTGCATTTATTATGAAGTCTAAAAACTTTTTAGATTGTTTCTCTTTAAATTCATATTCACCTATAAAAGAAACAATATAGTGATCATAGATAGAGTACTGTTTAAATCTGCCTTGTGTTCTTTAACATAATAATGTAAGTCCAGTGTGTGGTACATGATTTAAAAAAAGGTGGCGGCATAGTATGTTAAAACAATCTAATACTATGTGTCCTCTATGACTCCATCTGGGTGGAATATATAACCAAGAAAAGTAGTCTAATGTTCTACATCTGTTCTAAATTACAGCAAGATCCTTTGAGTCTTTGTATGTTCTGGATAAACCTCTAACATCAATCTAAACTTTCTCTATCATAATATAAGTTAGAAGTAAGATTATTAACTGTACAATATCTTAGAAACCACCGCATTGTCTGGTCCATCTTACCATAGTCAGTGGGTAATTCAATATCTACTGGTGTGATCCACTCTGTTATTTTAATACCAAGTTTGGTGGCCAATGTTTGTATTGTTGCTGTCTTGCCGCATCCCACAGGCCCACTTAGAAGTAATACATCACTTGAATTTCGCGTAGCATTTTTTAACCAGTCTTCAACTTCTTGAATTTTTTTGTTATGAACTGCTAGGTCTTCGACTTTAACAGGATCAAAGTTTTTCATCCAATTTTTGTGGTTTATTATTGGTGTTTCGATTTTGTCGTTTATATGTTTAGGTTTCTATAATTTAAAAAAATAATAACAATGATTAATCCAGTCATATCAAATTATTTGGTTTTCTCATTGCTATAAATGTTTATAAATTCTATATCGATATAAAAATATTTACTATAAAAGACACAAAATGTATTTATACCTCTTCGGACGATTTGCTTTGTTTAGGACCATTCTTTATCTTTTTTGGTGCTGAATCTTCATCTACGTCAAACATAGGATTCAGCCACATCTTCCCCTGTTAAAATAAATAAAATAATATAACAATTGTAAGGACTATGCTCATAAAGAACATAAGATATACACATAAAATTCCATGCGCCATTTAGTACTTAAATAATAAAACAAGTTAGTACTTTCTTCATTTTAAATATGCCAATTCCTCAAATAGTTTCCACTTATATTCTCTTTAATTTGCTTAATTTCAAAACAAAACTTCTACAACATTCCGAAAGTTGCGTTATCAAAGTTTGATATGTTTTGATTTGAATTGAATTTGAATTAAATTTGAAACTTTGAAAGTTGTACTGTCACTGCCTGTCAAACTGGTTGTCACTTTAAAAACAGTTTTACGAGATTTCACTTAAGGACATTATATTACGAAACTTTAAAAATCAAGTTATCAATTCTTTGGACAACATCACTCTTTTAACTTCATAACAGTTCAATTATCTTGTTGTTAATTTATTTATTATCCTTAAACATAAAATATATCGATGCTTGTAATCGTAATGAACTCTTTAAGTTAAATTACCTTAAAATTAAAAATGATTCCAAATTTTATTAGTAAAGTGGTTACAAACTCAAACATTTACTATATGTAAATTATAGTAATTTAACTACCAAGATAAATAATTCCTTTGCCAGTCTTGTTTGAAAAAGAAATGGTCGCTTTTACGAAGTTTGTTGTAAAATTACATCTGGTTTCTGATGTGAAAATTTATTATAAACGAAAACGTAAATGAAACGGTTGATTTTAAGATTTTTTAAACACAAACAAAAAATATATATTAACGTACCTAATGCTTAAATAACATACAATCCGAAAAATCATAACTGGAACTAACAGATGACAATTTGACAACTATTATTCTATAGCGGCTTTGTGAACTCGCTGCCAGTTACGTAAAATGTCTTCTTTTCTTTAATATTTTTGTAAACGTACGATAAGGTCAATTTATTCATTTAAGAAGCAAATGTTTTAACCCTGTAAGTTAAGAAACGTAGAATAACTGAATTTATAAAGTTTAGTTTTTTCTTTGGAACAAAGTTATTTATGACATGCACGAAGTAATTGCGCATTTAATTTTCAGGCAATGCAGGCCATTAAAGCTTTGGGAGCATCCGCTCCTTCTACAGTTCTTTCAGTACTTAAAAAGGGTGCATTTGCACCTGTAGTTGGACAAATACGTCAAACCCATTTACCGGCTCCAAATCCCAATGAAAGGCGCCCATATTCTCCGTTCCAGAAAACGAGTAATATGGCAGAATATGCCGTTGCTCGGCTTGATGATTTATTAAATTGGGGAAGAAAAGGCTCAATGTGGCCGATGACATTTGGATTAGCCTGTTGTGCAGTTGAAATGATGCATTTTGCTGCTCCACGTTATGATATGGACAGGTAATTTGATAAAAATCTTTGTAACTCGCTCACTTTTAGGAAATGTTGACATGTAGATTGTTTTCTCTTTTGCATTATTGTATCCATCCATCTATCTATCCATCCATCTAAACTTTCGCATTTATAATATTAGTAAGATTAGTTTCTCCTAATTTATAAAAGTATTCTTACAAATATAATATGGAATATAAGTTACTGTACTGACACAGGTAAGTAGTACACATGTCAGCCTTCCATCCACAGTTTCAATTCTTAAGTAATGTAACTATTGGTTTAAAGGGCCATCATTATTGAAGAGATAATTAGCATTATAATTCAGACACTTCCAGTAAAATTCAGTCACTGCTTTATGCCAAGCTAGGGTCCGATTAAAAGAATACAATTTGTACAAAGCCAAATGTTTATTTTTAGATTTGGTGTACTTTTCCGTGCATCACCGCGACAGTCTGATGTGATGATTGTAGCTGGCACTTTGACAAACAAGATGGCTCCTGCATTGAGGAAGGTTTATGACCAAATGCCTGAACCAAGATGGGTTGTATCTATGGGCAGTTGTGCTAATGGAGGTGGCTACTATCATTACTCTTATTCAGTTGTGAGGTAAGGTATATCTAATTCTTAAAATACTTAACAAATTGTGATTTAACTTCTTTTCAGAGCTCAGTACTTCTACTTCTAGTGAAATCAATTTAGAAATACATATTTTTACAAGTGTTAAGCCTTTTATTCAAGTTAATTTCTGTTAGAACTTTTCAACTATTTCAATAATTTTATTTTATTTATATGTACATGTAGGTTTTTAATGTTTTGTGAATATGAAAAATTTGTTATACATTGACAGAGGCTGTGACCGTATTGTGCCAGTGGACATATATGTGCCAGGCTGTCCCCCCAGCGCTGAAGCTCTACTATATGGCATATTACAACTGCAAAAGAAAGTGAAGAGAATGAAGACAGTTCAAATATGGTATAGAAAATAGGCATTCTATTAAATAGAAAAATCAATGTAATTTATCCCTGAATTAAATAAAGTGATCATGTAGCAGCAGTTGATTCTACTGTTTTACTCTACAATATAGTTGTTTTTTTTGCAATAATAATATTGTTTTTATTATATAAAAATTAGGTGTATAAACTCAAAAATTCAAAGACCGTTGTTACCCCCATACACTTGCAAAGTGAGCAAACCTCTTAGGTCACATAGCAAGTGATATACCAAGTAATAACCTCAATTATAAGCTAATGTTACAATGTATGGATGGATGTTTGTTATTATGTATATCCAGAAACGCTGAAACAGATGTTGCTGTTTCGTATAGATGAGAACATAGTCTGGAAAAATAAGTTACCAATTAAGTTTTTAATATGCCATACGAGTTAGACATTGTTTTAGTAGTGTGCAAACAAGTGAAGTTTTTTGAAATAAATATAGAATAATCAGTGACATAACACATACTGTTGCCTTCTCAAACCAATATACTGTACCTATAAAAGTATTGAGCACACAGAGCCAGTGCTGCAGTCGGAAAGGTCATGTAGCAGTCCCTAATTAACTCTCTTTATTTTACAAGTATCAGTGCAGAACAAATTTCTTTTCTTGGCTGTGACAAGCAACATTATTAATAAAAAAAAACATACTCCAATAAAATAAATTTTACTGATATGATAAATGGGATGGACAAATGAACGGCTGAACGAATTTTAATGAGATTTGGCATGGATGTAGAGATAGTTTGAAAGAACACATAGGATTACTTTTTTTGAATTCCACGTGGACGGAGTCGCGGGCAAATGCTAGTAGGAAACAAAATACTGTGAAATTCAATCACGTCAATAGCGTTCACCGGCGCAGTTAGGTCTGAAATATTGAAATCAATCTTTTGATATTTCTGTCCTGCAGATTCTTGACTGATGGCGATAAAAGTACTCACCTTTAATGGACTTCTTCATCTCAGCTTTAAACGTCAATTGGGATAGAATGGGTACAAAAAATCGTATTGGTATAAAAATCAAAAGTTTTAATGGTATTTTCTGAATCGCACCAAGCTTTCATTTACTTTTTAGTATACAGAATTATTTTTTTTGTAAACTATAATACATTTTCCAGATAATCTTCATGACATCATGAGGATACAAACCATTGAATATGCCTTAAAAGACTTTATAAATTTAATTTTGTCTGACTTGATGCTCATTACTTCTTAAAGTTAATGGCACATACAGAGTTCACTAAACAATAAAAATTATTCGCCTGAAACGTAAGCATTTCTAAAGAACACGCCATTATGAAACACACATAAAATGGTGTGGTGATGCAATGGAGTAACAACAGTTGTATGAATTTGTAATCTACCTTCACAATGTATTTATTTATAATTCGCAAACAGACGTCAAACAACTTTGATGTCAGACAAAATGTATTTCACAATATAATAATATCACATATTTTTAAATGCATCAAAACGAAATGTCAACTGCCATGTAACAGACATAATTATTTTAATTAGAAGAACACAAGCAGGGCAGGAGTGGAAATAAATAAATAAATAGAACTCCACTGGTACAATCGAAAAACCATTATGAGATTTTTAACGGAAGTGTCGAATTAACTCCCGATACAATAATAATTTATGTGATTTTATTCCATTTGTATGACGTTAAATAAACCAATTCTATATTTTAACACTAATTTACAATCTAGTATTTACATTTTATTTATAAGTATATATAAATATGTATAATTATATCGATAGCGATTCCGATAATCCTATCCTTCACATAATCAGCAATTTAATGTATAATTAACTAAATGGTCACAATAACAACTCGATAGATATTCTCAGTAAATAAACAAGCAGTAGTGTACCGGCCGGCGGCGACGAGCGCCCGCGCCCCACCCCACCCCCACCCCCGCCTACTCGCCGCGTATTGCACAAGAGAAGCGCCCCCGCCGCCCCCCCGCTCCAGCCACACCTCAACACAATAAATAATTCTCTAAACCGATAAAGTGAAACGATATATTATATCTTAATAAGTCGTACTCTCACTTGGGTGTATCGTTCACGCTGTATTTACATCAGTTGTGGGCGGGGGCGGGTCGCTATCATCGCGGCTCCTCCTTCTTCAACAGATCGAGGGGTGCGAGTGGCGCGAGGGGGGGCGCGAGCGGCGGCAGCGGCGCCAGCGAGCCGTGCGCGCCCAGCGGCAGCGCGCCGTGCCCCGGGTGCGCACCGTGCGCGTGCGGGTGCGCGTGCCCGTGCGGCACGTGGCCGCCGTGCAGCCCTCGGTGCAGCAGCGGACCCGACTTCAGCTGCTGGTGGTGCGCGTACGCGCTGAGCATCTTGGCGCGGTCCTCCTCCGCCCGGATAGCCGCTTCCACGAGCGGCGCGAACCTCATGTGCTGCAACGGATCGAAGGTGCGGTACGGGTCCCAGGGCGGGGGAGGCGGGTACGCCGGGAGCGTGGGCGGCGGCCGCGGCGGTTCCTTTCGTTCGTCTTTCGGTTCTGGCACTCCGTTCCGTAGCGGCGAGCGCGTGCGGGCTCGCTCCATCTCGCGCTCGCGCGCTTTGCGGCGTTCGCGTTCCTCCCGCTCCCTCCGCTCGCGCTCCTCCCGCTCCCGCCGCGCGCGCTCCCTCTCCTCGTGCTCCCGGCGCACCTCGGCGGCGGCGGAGACGGGCGGCCGCACCCCACGCCACGCGTCGTGCAATCCGATGGGCGGCGCGTGGTGCACGCCATGTAAGGAGGACGAGAGGGCGAGGTCGCGCGAGTAGGGAGAGAGGCCGAAGGCGCCGGGCGCGCCGGGGAAAGCCCCTGCGCCGTAGCGCGCGAACGGCGACACCCCTGAAACGCCCAAATCTCTGTGAGTGGCGAGGGCGAGGGGTGCGAGCGGCGCGAGGGGCGCGAGCGCGGGGCGGGCGGAGTATCGGCTGCTACCTAGGTGCGGGTGGTGCGGCAGGTAGGGCGAGGGCAGCTCGTAGGGCGAGCGGTAGGCGGGGGGCGGCGGCGCGGGCGCGGGGAAGGCGCGCAGCTTCTCCTTGTCCGCGCCGCTCAGCAGCGCGCCGCCGGACTTCTCTTTCTGTTGGTGATTGTATATCTCCCACGCGATTCGGACGTGCATTGCATTCCACTTTCCAGTTTTCTATAAGAACAAAAACATTTTAATATTGATAAGTGTTGTCGAGAGCAAATAACATATGTCGTTAGTATAGTAATCGTAAAATAGTCATGCAGGGTGAAAGTAATAGCTAAAGAGGAAGACCTACCGCGGCGGCGGGGCGTGGTGGTGGTTTAGTGGCGGAGTCGCTTGCGGCCGACACTACGGGCTGTTAACATGAGGCGAGGCGTGTTAATGATGACAGAGCAACATAATTTGCTAGCACTAAAGCTTGAGGTAACATATGAAATAAAGAATACAACTAATTAAGAAATCCCATATAAGTATAATCATGTAATATAAAATCACATTTTAATTTTTACTAGTAAGAATACATTGAATAAATGAAAAGTCTAGAGTAATTTGATTTTGTTCATTTTTATATTCAATGAAATACTTTTCCAAAAAACTGCAAATGGTTACTAAATAAGGTTTTACTACTGCAGAATACTAAACTAATTGCTACAATGATACAATATAGAATTAAAGAAACAAGAATCAATGAAATACGACTACTGGACTCTATTATAAGTATAAGCGAAAGATAGAGAAGTCGGAAACATTAATTAACGGGTAATTATAGTATGCTACATTTAAATAGCTTGTTAATTTTAAAAGTTGCCCGGTGTACATTACAACCCCGATACCAAATTCACATCAACATGAGATTTTGTGTTAACAAAAAAGTTATCCGACTGATTGTTTTGAAACTGTACAACTATGGTATGCATCTCATGGTGAAATAAATAAGGTAAGCGTGTGAAATATTGCAAGCAATATAAATGTCACCGTTTTCAAAATTCATCAATTTGCAATTGTACTAAGGGTATGATGGTATGGTTCAGTTAATACTATTGACAGTATATATTTTGTCGAGGAGGAGGAGGAGGTGGAGACGAGGGAGGTGCTATGCAGGTGAGGTGCACGTTACCTTGGGTGCGTATGTGGTGAGGGGCGCGGGCGGCACGTAGGGCGCGGCGGGGTGCAGCAGGCTGGACGAGTACGGGTACCCGAGTCCCAGCCCGGTGCGGTACAACGACGACATTTTGCTAACGTCTTTGAACTGAAATCACAATATATCACAGTTAATATTTTAACTTAGGTTTTCTACAATTTTGTTGACTTTCAACCCTATACATTAAAAACACATGTCCTATACAGATAAATAACCTTTCTGACAGTGAAAGAATTTTTAAAATCGGCCCAGTAGTTATTGAATTTTTCAACACATACAAAAATCCAGAAATACAAATCTTTCCTCTTTATAATATTAGTATTGATGTAGATAGTACAGATGATTAATACCTCAAACATGTTTAAAAGTTTTAGTTAAACTTCAGCAATCTCTTGATTGTCACACAATTAAGTTAGTTAATTTTCGGACGAAACACACATTAACCTGCAGCCATGATAGTAGTACTCAACAGATATACAATTTATAAAATAACTAGCTTACGCCAGCAACTACGACCGCGTAAAATTAAAAAAAAGAGTGAGTAGCCTATGTGTTCTTCTAGACTATCCTCTACATCTATACCAAATTTCATCGCAATCCATTCAGGCGTTTAGGCTACAAACTTTAACAAATATCCATCCATCAAAACTTTCGCATTTATAATTTTAGTATGATTAATATTGTATAATGTGCTAGATGGTACTAACCAGAGGTGAGTGCGGCACCAACAGCTGGTGCGGGTGGTGCTGCGTGGGCTGCGCGGGGTGTGTTGGGTGCGTGGGGTGCGCGGGG